TGGCCACTGAAATGGACATTCATCAGCCAGGGAGTCGTGCCGATGCCAAGTCGCCAGAGCTGAATGAATGAATGTGTGGAGTAAACAGATGGCTGGACAGGATAAGCCTGGCACTTCCTCTCTGCAGGTTTCAGAACTGGTGACTGTGAACCCTGCTCCCAGCTCCCTTTACTGTGGCTCACTTTGCTTCACTTTACGGAACCTCAAGTTCTAGAGCTAAAAGTGCAAAGATAAAGCACCCCTCCTTGGCTGACTGCTGTGAAGGAAAGAGCTGATTCAGAGGCACCTGTGAATGACAGGCCCTGGAGGTCCACATGCAAGAGGTGAGAAATTTGTGAGTAAAAAACACAGCACACTAGGATCATGGAGCCTGTGTCGCCAGAACAAGAGGCCTTTTACACGTTGCCATACACACACAATTTGCACAAGCAGACAGTCTGTGTTCACTTTGCAGTAACTTGGTCATTAGTAATGACCACCAAAGAAATATCTCCGCAATTACTGACTCTTGTTCATGTGTGAATCCACCCATTTCCAAATCAAACCAACAGTGCATTGCTTTGTTTTATTTTGTTTTGAATTGGGTTTTTTTGTTTGTTTTTTGTTTTGAATTGTTTTTGAGACAGGGTCTCACAAAGCAGTCCATAGTGAGTCACAAAGCAGTACATAGTGAGTTACACTATGTCACAAAGCAGTACAGAGGAACTCACTATGTAACCCAAGCTGATCTCAAACTCATAATGATCCTCCTGCCTCAGCCTCCTGAGTGTTCGGATTACAGGCATGCACCACCACACCAGGCAACCAAGATAAAGTGAGGATGGACGATAAACTGAAGAGAGTTTCCCTGCTGATTCAAGGATGCTGCAGGATTGCCCAGACTTGTTTTCAGAACTTGTCTCATACAAAGTGCCTTAATGTCCTTGCAGAAGGGGGCGCTGTAGAGAACAAAAAAATAGGGGGACAGGTCTGCCAGTCTGCCTTGGAATCTTTTTTCTGCCATTTGACACATTCTTGGCCAAGGAGTGAAATGAAAAACAACAGAAACCGGCCGACCGCTCCCTCTCTTTGCTCCAGTCAGCTGTGTAGAGTGGGCTTGCAGAAAGCCCCTCCAAGCTTTGCCCAGCTGTGGGCTTCAGGGCTTATAGCTGTCTGTTGGGAGGTAAAGCAAGCATCAGGCAACACTGGGAATGAGGAGCTGGATACATACAAGGTGTCCAAACCCCAGATTAATGCTGCTCCTCCAGGGCTCCAATGTTCAGAGAATCCTGGCCTCCCTGACAGTGATAGGGTGGTAAAATGTAACTCCAGACCTGCTGGACAGCGGACACGCAGAATGTGTGATTCTAGAAATCGAAGAATGAATGCTGAGGTGCAGTAGAGGGTAAGAATAGGAAAACTGACCAGGGGACAGGAATGGGGAGTAGGAATAGCTCCTGAGACACAGGAGGGGTCCTCAGTGGGCTGCCAGTGAGCCTGTGCTCTGAGAAGGTTTTACAGCAAAATCATGAAGTGAGTACTACGTGGGTCAAAATGACAATCAAGTATAAACCATACATGTGGTACACACTTGTAATTCCAGCACTCAGGAGGCTGAGGCAGGAGGATCTCCAGCCAAGCTGAGCTACATAGTGAGTTGTGGGCCATCCTGAACTATATGGCAAGATCCTGTCTCAGAGAAACAAAGATAGATCACAAATGCAGCCTCTTGGCTGATACCAATCTATTAGTAGCACGAACATACAGATGACATCGTTAACCTTCATTGACAATCAATGGGCTTTTTCTTGTCTCTAATCTTAGTCTTAATATTCTCAGTGGGTAGGAGGGGATGTCCACCCCTACTCAGATAATGATTTATTTATATGGGAAATTTCAAAAGAGTGGCACCAATGACCTCAAATCTCTTGGCCTTTGGCTTTAATTTCACTCGGATGCACCTCCAGGCACTTTCTTGTCGCGTTCTCATTCCTGCACTGACTCCCTCGAGGGCCCAGCCCTGTTTGCCACCTCGAATCTCTCTCCCTAAAGCAGTCGTCTGTGATAACGGGACCAGCACTAAGAGGCACAGAAGAATCGGACCAGTCCTGTAGATGCCAGCCTGGGAGGTGTCCATCTCCTGGGTGCGACACGGTGGCTGGGGTTCGGCTGGGCTGTGCTGTTCCCTGAAGCATGGTGGCATCACTTCTGCAGGGACCTGAGCTGATTCATCTCCGCAGGCCCCCACTTGGGCACCAGCCAGTGTCGGCCTCCACTCCCCAGCCCCACGATCACCACTCCTTCCTCGGGTGACTTCACCCCTCTAGGTCTGGGTCCCACGACCTTGTCTCACCAGTGGTTGCTTTCCTCTCTGCCCACCTTGCTGGGTTCTCACTTGCCTTGTTCAGGTGATGAAGAAAATATACCAAATGAGTCCCCTCGTGAGCTGGGTGTGGTGGTGCGTGCCTATAGTCCTAGTACTCAGGAAGCTGAGCCAGGAGGGTCATCACAAATGTGAGGGCAGCCTGGGCTACTGAACTAAAGGCCAGCCTGAATAAATAAACCCTGTCTCAAAAGAAATTTTTTTAATAAAAAAAAACTTGGTATTCACACTAACTCCTGAGCAATGATCTTGCAGTATTATCTCCTTTCCTCTGTCTGCAGAATAGGAATTAGGACAATCATTATTAACCCAATTCACCAGATTAAGAAAAAACCCAAAACTCAGTTCTTTGAGTCGTGGCTTGGGGAGTATCAGAATAATCAGCACTCTGCTTATTTGCCAGCCAGGCCGGTTTGCTAAGTGTCAATGTCCGATTGATTCCCCCATGAGTCTTGATTACATTATCACTTTGGTTTCCTTGATTTTTTGAAAATACTTAGAGAAATGAGAGCAGCAATTCAAAGTGTTAGCTTCCTCATGACCCCTGCAAGTGTTGAAATCTGGGAAAGGAAACTAGGGTGAAAGCCTCGAGTTACTGACTGAGATCTGTGTGGCAACAGGGTTCTCCAGGTCATCTGCAGGTATTGAACTGTAGACCTTACCTTGTATCGGCATGGTCTCTCACCACTCAGCTCTGGAGAGAATGCCAGAAGCTATTACTGGTCCTATTCCATGTGTCTTTGCAATACGGTTCTAGAGATTGTATTTATTTATTGCTCGTTTGTTTCAAACAGGGTTTCACTATGTAACTCAGTCTGGTCTCGAAACTCACTATGTAACCCAGGATGGCCTGGAACTCTTGGCAATCCTTCTGCCTCAGCCTCCTGAGGTCCCAAGGGCTGAGATGACAGGCGTGTGACCCCACATGTGGCTTGTTCAGAGTTTTTAGACACGGCTCGTGGGCTAGGAAATGGGAGAGATCATGCAGGATGCAGGCTCCAGTACGTCCTTCGCTGGCTTGTGAGCCCTGTCTTCCAGTAGCCCTGCCAGCCACCACAGAGCTTATCGGCAGCACTGGGAGTTGCCCAGAGTTCACTCGTTAGGCAAGAGCCCCCATGCGATGCAGCACACAGGCAGGGGGTGGGGAATGCTCTATTGGTTTTTTCGGCCTGTGCACTGGTTGCCTCACATGAAAGCATGATTTCTCTTCTAGCTGGAGCTCTTCCCATCCATATGGCGGTGCTTACTTCACAGGAAGGCATTAGTTAGCTTCTTGATCCTTTTTCATTAGTTTTAGCAGACAAAAATTATATACATGCATCATGTACGGGTTGTTTCAATGTTAAATGTGCGCAAGAGCTAAATCAAGCCAGTTAACACAAGCCTTTCTTTAACTTCTAAAATTGATGATAACAACCCGGGCATAATAGAACATGCCTGTGATCCTAGCACTCCAGAAGCTGAGGCAGGATTGCTGCGAGTTCGAGGCCTGCCTTGGCTACAAACTGAGTTTAAGATAAGCCTAAACTACAGAGCGAGATCCTCTCAAATAAATAAATAAATAAATAAAATTAATGCTAACAATCTTTCCCAGAATCCTCAGGGATATCAGGTTAGCAACAGGGCAGATTGAATTCTGACTCTGAATAAACTTGGAGCTACGACTTAGGCAAACTGCTTCCTTCTCTGAGATCACAACAGAGGGGCAGTCCTCCGGATTGTGACTGTTTTCCCGGCACACCCATGACCTAATCGCACTTCTCACCTGACATACGGAACCCTGTTAATAAGGTGAGAAAAAAGCCCAGTTCTCTAATAGGCCAGCTTGCTGTTTCCCCTTTTTGTTCACCCCAGTTTTTTGAAACAGAGTCTTACAGTGTAGTCCAGGTTACTCTTGAACTTACTATATAACCCTGGCTGGCATCAAATTCACTGGGATCCTCCCGCCTCAGCTTCACGAGTGCTGGCATTACAGACGTGTGCCACTATGACCAGCTGCTCCTTTTAATTGCAGCAGACTGATGCACTATTAGCTGGAATTTACAAACATTTTTATTTGAAATAAGTCAGAAGTCAGACCCTGTTGGCTTTCCTTACAACTTGCCACGCCCTCGAAATAACAATTCAATTTTCCATTCGGAACTCCCATTAAGGGGGCACTTCCCTCCCCAGTTTACAGCTGTTGAAGGGGTAAACAAAATGAAATTCAGTCGCTGGGTGTACCCCGACGCAAACCCTACTTTGAACCCGGACGTGAGCTTTCCCGGTCGGGGGGAGGAGTGGGAGAGGAGGTGGGGCAACAGCCCTTCCGGAAGTTCTGCCCACCTCCCGCCAGAAAGACACCGCATTGGACAAAAAAGTGGAAAGGCGGGGCTACAATCGAAAATGTGGACGGCCAGATAGTCTAGTTGTCCTAGTTTCCTGACGGACACTAGAGACTGAAGAACAAATCTGGGATGTACCATCCTTCTAACTCAATCATTCTATCAAATTAAGACATTCATAGGGATAGCTACAGTAAAGTTCAAAGAATTATTTTTACATTTTCCTATGATACCTGCAAGCTCGAAGTATACAGAGAGCATTCTGGAGAATGTCTTTTCCTTTTTCCACTATCACCCCCCAGGTCTAAACCACTTGGGTTTGGTTTACGTCACTTCCTGTAGTAGCTCCGTGAATGCCGGAAGCTGCACGCGTGGAGGAACTAGGAGTTGGACCACACCGGGGATGCTATGGGCCGGAGGAAGGTGCAGGGTAGTGGGTCGCTGGGCCGGACCCTTATCCGCCACCAGACACAGCGGAGCCGTAGACACCGTCACACCGACTCCTGGGTGAGACGGACCTTGTTATTTTTCTTATTTCAAGACTCCTAGTGCCATAAAATGTGAGGTCAAAAGTCACAGAAATTTTCCTTAAGTGAGGCGTTTTGCAATGTGTAGGAGTTTCCTCCTGGCTGGGCAGCGGATCCTAGCGAGGCGCGGGGCACAGAGGTAGAGGTTTGAAAGCAGGACTGGTGTGATGGTGAGGCGAGGGTGAAAATATGAAGCGTCACAAATGCCAAAATCCCCTGAATGTTTGTCTTTTGCCCTAGAAGTCTTAAGAGCTCTCGGAAGTTTTTGAGAAAAGAAAACTTCGTGATAAATATATAACTTAGAATGGCGTTTGTCAAACTCTAGGTTGTATCTTGAGTAGTTAGATAGAAGATACTACGGTGTTACATAGGCAACTTGTTTCGAGATCCTTTTGTTTACATTTTACTATATTGGCCGGTACGTTCCCACTTGGATCACTGTGTGTCTCATGTACTTTTGGGTCGTTTATATAAAATACATTTCTTAGTGTGGAGCTCTGTCAAAAACATTTTGACTTACCTGGCTGAGAAAGTCAAGATTGTTCAAGTTCTCTCACTGTCGCTTAGTTTGCAACTCTAGGCAAGTTAGAGTACCTGTTTAAGCCTCAGTTTCCTAATCATGAAACGGAGATACAAGAAAATGAACTTCAAAAGATTTGGGGAACTAAATGGTGAAAGGAAAGCCTCTCTCCCAAAGTGAGAAAGTGCTCATTTAAATGCAAATTATTGCTGTGAGATTCTGAAGATTTGCAAAAGCGATCAGTTTCCTGGGCTGCCGCAGCAGAAGACAGCAGCTTTCCTCTGACGCTTTTGCTTCCTAGTTGCACACCAGTGAACTGAACGACGGATATGACTGGGGCCGCCTCAATCTGCAGTCGGTGACTGAGCAGAGCTCCCTCGATGACTTTCTGGCAACCGCAGAACTCGCAGGAACAGAGTTCGTAGCTGGTAAGTCGCTTGGTGCTGGTGTGTGACACGACTCAGTTCACCACTTGCTGCCAAGATGTAGATATTTGGAAGTGCTCAAGGACCCTGCTAAGGGTGACCCTCCTTTGAGGCCTCCCTGTGCCTCAAAGGAGGGTCGCCCAGGAGCAGTGTGTGGAAGTCCGGGAGAGTGAGCTGCATATGCCGCAGGGTTTTAGTCAGCTGTGGAGAACACCCTCAGTTATACTTCCTATCCAGGTCAAGAAATGTAGTACCAACATTTTCCAGAAAGTCTTTAGTATGGCTTTATTATTAAAAGAAAGGTCTTATCTTTGCTTCTGTTGGAAATTTGGATTTATCTTTATCTATGTCTATATATTCTGTTTTGAGACAGGGTCTTGCTATGTAGCTTAGGCTGGCCTGAGAATCTATAGTTCTTCCTACCTCAGCCTTCCTGGGACTGGAATTACAAGCATTCACCATCATGCCCAGCTATGACTATATTTTTAAAACACCAATCAACATCTGTACATATAATTTTAGTGCTTTTCTTTTTGTGAATGGTTTTTTTTTTTTTTTTTTTTTTTTTTTTTTTTTTTTTTTTTTGGTACTGGGGATGGAACTCGTGACCTTGTGCTTGCCAGGCAGGCACTTAAGCCACTGAGCTAAATCCCCAGCCCTGTGTATTTTTTTAATGTGGCCTAATACTCTGGTTTCTCTTCAGATCATATAAATCTTTCTCCTTAATGTGGCCTAAGCTCTTAGAAAGATGGTATTGTAAACCATTATTTCCACTCCTTTATAGCACATCATTTACTGATTTTGTCCAAAGTACTTTTATGAATACTCAGCTGTCACGTTAGCCACTAATAGTATGATGTTTAATTTTAGCTGTTTCTGTAAAATTTTGTTTTGCGTGCTGTGAGGTCTTTGGAAAACAATGTGGTCATTAAAGACAGGCTCAGGAGCCCTTTCCGTCTGAAAGAAGATGGAGGCCAGCCCCAAAATCCTTGCCCAGGCCTGAGTCTTCATTTTTCAGCACCAGCAAAGGAACCCAGGGCTTCCTGTGTACTGGGCACGCGCACCTCTGAGCTACACCCCAGCACCCAGGCTGAGAGCTACACTACAAGATGATGGAAGGAGAAGGGACGTACATAGCGGCCAGGAGTAAACCAGCAGTGAAAGAGGCGGGGCGTTGCTGGTGCAGGGAGACCAGCTGTGATGAGCACGCACTGAGAAAGGGACCAGATGGGTCCCAAAGAGAATAAAGTCAAGGGAGAGTGCCTACAGAGATTTTACTTTCTTCGGGGGTTTTTTGTCTGTCCCCGCCCCTAGCTTTCTATAGTTGTAGTGTACACATGATGTTTTGTTGTTGGTATGTGCTGTGGAGTGATCACCACGATCGAACTAATTAGCAGCTCCATCACCTCATACAGTATTGTGTGTGCAGCGAGATATCTAGAGTCGCCTCCTCTAAGACTGAGGATGTAGCCCAGAGGTAGAGCACTTGCCTAGCCCTGGGTTTGATACCCAGCCCTGTACAAAAGACAAGCAAGCAAAAAACCTGCTCTCTTAGCAAACTCTTAGTGTTCAATCCAGCGGTTGTAATTAGAGCAGCCATCCTTAGCTCTCCAGAACTTACCCTGCCTGCGTGAAACTTCAGTTGACCAGCATCCTCCTGCTGCCTGCACCTGTGCTTCTGATAACTACCATTCTCTCTCTGCTTCTGTGAGTTCAGCTTTTCATGTCCCACATATTTCTGAGACCACTCTTTGTGCTGGCTTGTTTTACTCAGCAGAATGCCCTCCCGTGTGCCCAGCTGGTCACATCGTCATAGTTGTCTTCTCCTTTAATATTTTTCTGTGTACATACACAGCTGTCCCTCCATATCTGTGGGACTTGGCCGCATAGCCCCGTATGAACCCCAAAATCTATAGCTCAGCTTTCATATAATGACAAAATATTTGCATAGAACCTTCAGATAACTGCTTGTATACTTGAGTTCATCCCTAGATGACTTTTTTTTTTTTTTTTTAATTTTATTTAAGGAGAAAAGAAAAAAAAAGCAGGGAAAGGGTAGAAGTTATACAGATTTACAGAAAAAAATGAACAGTAGGAAATCACTAGTTAATGGATTACATATTGTCATCTTAGAAATAATTGTTCAAGTCACAAAATTAAAGCTTGTAAAGTGGACATTCCATCAATGATACTGCAAACAGTTCTGTTCATTGATCCAATAAAACTCTGTGATATCATTTTCTATCTTATACACTTAAATATACCTGCAGTTATATAGTTTGGAGCACTTTCTTTTCCTCTCTTTTGTACCATGACTATTACACATTTTGGGTTTCATTGCTCCCACGGTTCTTATTACTTTTTTGGAAGAGAGTAAAACCAAATGTGACATAACAGAACAGAATCGGTCAAGTCAAAAGGGTGGACATAATAGATAATGTAAAAACATAATACAAGGTGATCAACAATGGTTACCATAATGCCTCCCGCTATCTCTAATAGAATTGCCTGTATCATTAGTTAAAATACAATTGAACAAAACAGTAAAGAATAAAACCGACAAAACCAAAACATTGGAGACATTGTAGGTCTTCAAAAGTAGATAAAAGTCAACAAGAATGGGCGTCATAATGAATCTCATTATCTTCACAGCTGATGCCTAAACTTTCGAACCTGATACTATCCAGCAAAACAGAATAGGGGAACATCAGTTAAAAACCAGATGGTGAGAGAAATACAGGGCTTTAAATCAAGGTAATGAAAAGTCAAAGTGGGTTACTATAATATATCCTGCTATTTTTTTTCCTTTAATTAAAAGGATAAAGATAAAAAAGTAAATAATGGAGTGGAGATTGAGATAAAAGAGGGCATAACAACGAAACAGCGCAGATCAAAACATAACCATTTAAGCAGAATAGTGTTTCACCACCAGATAATCCTAACCTAAAAGTAGTTACCATATTGTTTCTTTCTTTGAAATCCTTGAGTACAACTTCGTATACTGTAGCATTAAGTATATCAAAACAATGTAAAACCATTCGAGAGAATGACAGCATTACAGAGTATTTAGAATCGACTAACAAAATGAACAATGGTTTCTGTATAATCTCCTTGTCTTTAACAGGTTTTTGCTTATACTATCATACATAATAAAATCCAATAAGATACAGCCTATTTAGATCATTGGAGACAGAAGGACAAAAGCTAGATGAGACTTCAAAACAAGATGATACTAAATCTGTATTACTTATTAAGATGTCATTTTCTCCAAAATAGCTGTTCCTATCATCCAATCTTCTCTGCCTCATTTCTGTTAAGCTCTTTTTCTGTCCGTAGCTGTCAGTTTGTCTTCTTCATTTTGTTCTCTGCTCCATTCATTGTGGCCTCTCTGCCATTATTTCTGGATTCTTTGTATTTTTCTTTTTTTAGAATATCCTGCAATACTCTCTGTAGAGTTGAATTGGTGGTTGCAAATTCCCCCAGTTCCTCTTTATCCTGGAAGCACCTTGTTTTTCCATCAATTTCCAGGGACAGTTGTGCAGGATATCTCAATCTTGGCTGGAGATTATTATCTTTCAATGCTTGAATTATTTCCCCCCACGCTCTTCGTGATTTGATGGTTTGTGCAGAGAAATCTGCTGTAATTCTGATGGGTGTTCCCTTGTAAGTGGTCTGTTTCTTGTCTCTTACAGCTTTTAATATTCTGTTCTTGTATTGAATTTCTGGAATTTTTATTATTATATGCCTGGGTGTTGCTCTGTTTGGGTTGTAAGTAGCTGGGGTCCTGTATGCCTCATACATCTGAGTATCTTTACCTTTTGCTAAATTAGGAAAATTCTCCTGGATTATTTCTGTGAGTAGCTTTTGTAGTTCACTTGTTTGTGTCCCTACTTCTTCTTTTATGTTCTTAATCCTTAAGTTATGGATCCTCTTATCATCTTCTTGTCTTTGTATTATTGCTGTTTGTTTCTTTGTTATTTTTAAGAAGTTTTTCATTTCATTCTCCCATATTACAAGTCTGCCCTCCAGTTCAGATAGTCTGTCCTTAGTTTCTTTCAAGCTGTTATGCCAGTCTTCTATAGACTTCTTAGTATCTTGGTAGTCCCTTTGAACCTGCTTCACGTATTCTATGCTTTCTCTGTTTTCTCCATCAAACAATTCTCCCCTTTTTTTCTGTTCTTCCATTCCACCACCTGTTTTTTCTTGGGTGGTACTTAGCATTTCTCTAACTATTCTGCATACTTCTAGCTTCAGGTCATTGATAACTTCATTCCTGAATTGGTCTATGAGGCTCTCTATATGGTGCCTTATGTGTATTGGTGTGGTGTCTGCTATTGCCTGTTTCTCAGAATTGGGGGCCGAGGAGCCTTTCTTGTTGCTGCCTCTTCCCATGCTGCCTCTTCTTCTCTGTTCCTTATATATGCAAGCTTATATAAGAGGCCCAGCTTCTCTCCCAGTCAGCCACAGCCTGATTGAATTGCGCCAGTTAGGTGTTCCCGCTCACCGCTGCGCACCAGGGAGTTATGGACCAGGCAGCCTACGCGTCTCCCCTCCCGGCCACCGTCAGGCTCTGGGATCTGGGTTGGGACAGTCTACCAGGTCCGCCGGCAGCGTCACGCAGGCCAGGCACTTTTCACCAATCCCGCCCGAGAGGGGGATGTGTGACTGGAGTCGCCACCGCGCCCTGCTCCCGCAGGACTGCTCGGGCCCAGAAAGTCCTCCGCTGGAGTCAAACTGTGGTAGAGTGTCAGCTTCTCTCACTCACCTCACCACAAGTCAGTGCACACCTCCCTGCCGTTCGCAGATTGCCGTTCTCAGAGCTTCCACGCGTCTCTCCCTGCCGAGCCACTGTAGAGGCAGCCAGCTGCCGTGCGGCGGGAAACCCAAATCGCGGCTTACAATGGCGCGGTTCCAGCCTCCACACCAAGTCTTTTCTGTTCCTGTTTTAGCACCAGGACTGCATTCCAAGTTGGCTTCTCTCAGCCCAGTTCGTTCCTGAGTCAGCAGAGCATATCTCCACCGACTTATGTCTCCTTAGTCCGCACCATTCCTGGCTTCTGAGCCGAGTCTTTCAGAGAGCCTCCGGTAGTTGCTGTTATCTGTCCGCCATGTTCTCCCGGAAGTCAATGACTTTTGTTTTGAAACAAGGTCTTGCTAGGTAGCTCGGGCTGGCTTCGAGTTCTCAGTGATCCTCCTGCCTCAGCCTCCTGAATGCTGTGATTAGCCCGCCTGATTATCACATATTCTTTACTCATCCCCGATAGCACATTGCATCCCATATTCTGGCCATTGTGAGTAACGCTGCAATGCAAATATCTCTTCAAGATGCTGATTTCATGCTCACTTCTTTTGCATGTACACCTGGAAGTGGGGTTGCTTCCACATCGTAGTTCTGTTAACATTTTGAGGACATTCCAGAGTGTTTCGTAGTGGCTGTATCACATTTCTCGTTTTTAAAAAAAATCACTGATAAGTGAAAGGAAGAAAGAAACTTGTTCATCACCAAGAGATGCAAGCTTGACTGCAGCAGAAGGAGCAGAAGAATGGAGAAAGAGTGGCAGGAGATTGAGGGATGTGGAGTAAACCAGACTTGTAGCAAGGGACGAAGAGCAGAGAGAGATTCGAGCAGGAGCCCCAGGCTTCACAGGAAGGGGCCCTGTCAACCCCAGGGTGTCAGGCAGGGGAAGAGTGGAAGAGCTTGGAGAGAAGGGAACTCAGACATTGTCAGCAGCAACTTCCAAAGACATCTGGAATTCCTCTGAAGGCTGGATGTGGACCTGCTGACTACCCAGCAGTTCCACTCCTGTGTGCACCGCAGTCATTAAAAACAAGGCCATGAAAAGTCTTGTATGTGAATATTTGTGGCCACTTTATTTGCCATACACAAGAAGAGGCACATCTATACAGTGGGACGGTGTGTGGCTATTAAAAGGACAGAAGTTCTGGTATATGCTGCAACATGCATGAGCTTTGAAACAGTAAAGAGAACAGACATAAGAACACAGAGCGGGCCAAGGATGTAGGTCAGTGGCACAGCACCTGCCTAGCTGCACGAGGTGCTGAGTTAGATTCCCATTACAAAAAAAAAGGATATATTTGTAGGAAGAGTCCAAGAGTCAGCATATTTATGAAGACCTAACAGCTTGGGTTACCTGAGGATGCGGGTACAGGAAGGAGCTGCCAATGGGTAAAAGGTTCTCTAGAGGAATGAAAATGTAAACGTCATCTTAGTCATGGTTACATAACTGAGAGCTGAGAGCCTGTGGCCCCAGGAGCCCACTCACCCCACCGAAGGGGCAAGTGCTCTTTAGAGAGGGTGGGGGCTTCCCTGCAGGACACCAGGGAGAGCCCAGAACAGGGTGGATTTGGGTGTCTTATGGGCAGTGCCAGTGGCTGCATTCACAGTGGCAAGGCTCACTGTCCTGTCCTGCAGCATCCCACAGCATTCTGGGGACATGAGAAGAGATGGACGGTTGGGTGTGCAGTGAGTGAGGAGTTTGATGGTTTGGTGCAAGGGTGGGTGAAGGAAGCTGCAGGGTGGATGACAGCCTGGGCCTGAGGTCAGGGGTGCAGAGTAAGGGGCCAGGTGTTCCCAGAAGTGGGCTGAGCCATGGGAATGCCAGGTGGAAGGTCAGCGCCAGAAGGGGAAGCAGTTATAAAGGGTGCTATTGGTCGAGGGCAGTGTGGATGAGAACAGGCTGGGTGACAGTGACCCAGATGAGGGCCACAGGGTGCTGGGCGGTGTGACTGGGGAGGGCGCAGGCTGTGGTCTTAGACCTCCAAGGACAGAGGCACGGGGCCGAGACCTTAGCTCTGCAGGCAGCGGGATCCTCAGTGGCTGCTCCCGTGCTTTCCCAGTGAGGCCCCGTGCCTGGGGGTGCAGCGGAGTGAAGTAGGAGTTGCTGGGGCTAAAGCCTAGAGCAGAGCCCTGTCTAGTTCATGCCTACACTTGCTTCTCTTTCTCTCTCTCTTGTTAGTTTTATTTTGACATAGAGTCTTACTAAATTACTAAGTTGCCAGGCTAGGCTCAAACTGCAATCTTCTGCCTCAGTCTTCTCCAGTTCAAACTGGGGCAAATCTGGTCACTAAGTCTTTCCTCCTCACCACCTCCTTTGGTTTCGATTTTTTTTTTCTGGTCTTTGAGAGACAGGGTCTCACTATGCAATTCAGCCTGGCCTTGAGCTCGCTCGAACTTGCAGCCATCCTCCCAAGTGCTGGGATTACAGACATGTGCCACCATGCCCGACTTCAAAATTATTCTTCAGTGTAAAATGAGACGATAGGTGGTACTGTGCCCTGCAGCTCCGGGGAATATATTGACCAAGAGAGATTAGTAACGTCGGTACTTAACGAGATGGCGAGTCCTTGGAAATTTTAGTGAAGATTTCTGAATTTTTCTCTTTTCATGGTAAAAAAAAAACTCCACTTCGAATTTATAATTTATTCAGTTCTAGAGGAAGTGAATGAAGGCTTAAGTTCTGTTTTAGCCTCAGTGTTAGTTTCCCGAGTTTATTAAGATGACCAACATTCTGTGTTTTCACTTCTTAAATAATAGTACTTTTTCTTTTCTGTAAACAGAGAAGCTAAATATTAAGTTTGTACACCCTGAGACCAGAACTGGGCTGCTGTCATTTGAGGAGAGCCAGAGAATTCAGAAGCTCCATGAAGAAAACAGACAGTTCTTGAGCATCCCCAGAAGGTGAGCAAAGCAGAATCTAGACCCTGGGACATCGGGGATGATGCTAAGCTGCTTTTTCTCTACTGTCATTATATCCTAAATCCCATGTTATTTTGGTAACTTACGCTTGGGATTTTTTCCCCTCTGATTATTTTAGACCAATTTGGGACAAAAATACTAGCCCAGAAGAACTCAAACAGGCTGAGAAGGATAACTTCCTAAAATGGAGACGCAAGCTTGTCCGGTGAGTGTCCAGCCTGAGGCTTCACCTTGAGTCCTGGGTGGGGACCTTGGCAGCTTGCGTTGCTGTCTACCCTGGGAGCCCTCAGTGCGCCAAGGGGAATGGTGGTGTTCTGTTCACAGGTGCACATTGGTACAACACGCAGGTGCCACACCTGCTGGCCTGTGTGTCTTCATTGCAAGGGAGTGAGCTGGTTATTCGGTCCATTCCTTCCTCCTTCCCCTGTGACTGTCAGGCGCTCTGCCATTCCTCCAGTAGGAGTTGAGAGAGAGGTGTGCTTCTGTATGAGAAGTGAACTTCCATGGGGAGCTGAAGGCAGGGTGTGGTCTGAATAACTCATTGTTATTTTGACTCAGTAGGCAGTGTATAAAAATAATTCTAGAGTATTTGTATAGTTACTTTCTAATTTGGTGAATTTGGGCATTTATACTGCTTAAAATTGTCTTCTTATAATCTGGCAAAGATACAAACTTCTCATTCTAAAGCCAGACTAGAAGAGGAACAGAAGTTGATACTAACTCCATTTGAGCGAAATTTGGACTTTTGGCGCCAGCTCTGGAGAGTCATTGAAAGAAGGTGAGCAACCATTTTTCTTTTGTTTTGCTTGGTTTTGAGACAGGGTGATTCTCCTGCCTCTGTCTCCTGAGTGCTGGGACTACAGGCATGCGCCTGTATGCCTGGCACCATTTTCTTCTGTGTAATGAAGAGTCCATGGCAGTGGTGTTAGATATGGATGTGGATATACGCTCATGGGCTGTAGATCTAAGAGGTTGAGGATTGAAATATATAAAAAGTTACAATTTTTAAAAGTGAAAGAGTTTTTCCTCACTAGAGGAGTGGATTGGCAAGTATGTGAGAATCCTGAGCATTTTCTAAAGGTGAATTCTGTCGTTATTTCCGCAAAGATACGTTGAGTTTCTAGTGGTGATGGAAAGTGTAGATGTGTAAAGGGGTAGATTTTTGCCTGTAGAGAGCGTGAATGTTACAGGAGATAGATGGCAATGGCCATTTCAGCAGTTTTTCATGGAGTTCAACTAGCTGCCAACAAAGTGCCACCAGGGGCACCTAGATGAATGCAGTCCTGTCCTCAACCTCCAAGAACTCAGTACCCAGTAGGTGACTGGACCATTACTGGCCTCACTGTTGACTGTACCCTTGCTGTTTATATGGTGTGTGCCTGGGCTCGTGTCCAATCTTTGGCACCCAGCCTCCTGGACAGAAATAAAACTAGATACGTAACTGTCTTAGTTACTTTCTTGTTGCTGAGATAAAATACCTGACATCCACAAGTGAAAGGAGTAGAGGTTTGTTTTAGCTCACAGTTTGTAGAGGTTTCAGTCCATAGTCAGCTGGCTCCAAGGCAGGATGGTGCAGTAGAGGAGAAACAGTTCGTGGCAGGGCAGACAGGAAGCAGCAAGCCTCCCTCCTCCTTTCCCTTGTGTTCCATCCAGGATAATAAGCCCATTGGCTGCCTCCCACATCCAGGGCGGGGCTTCCCTCACCAGTAGTTCCACACCCATACCCAGAACTGTGCTGCACCTGGCAGTGAGCTAATGCAGTACACACAGCCCTGATCCAGCCATCTGGCAAAAGCCCCACCTGAAAGCCATGATACTTCAGGGGGCACATCTAGATAGGAGCTAAAATAGTTACACATGACATCCATCACCCAAATCAGTTTCTGTGCATGTTAAATGTAATTACCGTCAAAGTCATTAGAGAATTTAATTTTGTTTGAAACTTATATGGTAGTAGCCTTCCTACATTATTTACTGTCTAGTTTGTTTTGTTTGGCTTGGGTTTTTGTTTAATTTCTGTTTTGTTTGGTGTTTTATATTTCTTGTGTTCGTCTTTTTGGAGGTTTTTTTACTTTTTTTTAGAGACATGATCTTACTATGCAGTCAAGCTGTCGTGGAGCTGGGATTAGATGCATGCTCCATCAGGCCAGGCTCTGTTCCCTATTTTTAAAAATCCAAAAGCTTTACATTCAGTGCCTTAATAATTAAAAGATAAATCTTAGAAGTGATCTGAAATGTGACCTGAAGTTTAACCTATTGAAAAAAATGTATGTGAGGCATTTTGTTTAACCAACAAAACATGAGGAAAAAGAAAACAAAGACTTGCCCATAACTTCTGTGGCAAAAGCTAACCTCTCTTCCAGTCCCTTACATACCTAAGCTAGTAAGGCACTGTAAACAGTCTTCTGTGTTTCACCTGGTTCTCTAAACTTTACTCTTACAGTACTTTATTCTCATTGACCAGTTGTTTGGATTTATAATACATCTAGACAATAAAATCATTAAGCTCTTACATCATTAAAGACTATCACATAATAATAGAATCTTTGTATTTTGCCAAGCTACTATAAAATTTTCCTCTGAAAGGAAGTAAGTTGCATATGGAAATACCTGCTCCTTACACGTATGGGCGCAGTCAGACTGCCTCCGTAACGCCCTACATTCATAGAGGCATTTGCAGGGCTGCTGACCTGACAGTAGCGGTTGATAGTATTTCTCTTACATTTAAAAAAAAAAGGAAAAAGAGCCCGTGTTGCTTCTGCCACCTCCTGCTCACCATGAATTGCTCTTCTCTGTGAAGCCACCCTGCCTTGGAGCCAGCTGATTATGGACTCCAACCTCTACACACTGCAATGATGATGGTACATGTCATAATCCCAGCACTCTGGAAGGCTGAGGCAGCAGATTCCAAGTTTGAATCTGACCTGACCAACTTAGCTACTTAGCAAGACCCAGTCTCAAAAGAGGAAGACTTCTGGGAAGATAACGAAGTGGTAAGCAGCAGAGAAAGAGCCTGCCTGAGGTTTGGTACCCAGACACTGGACTGTAGCAACTGGAGGAAGAGAAGAAGGAGGGAAGTGGGTCTCCTGGACCCAGGGGCGAGCACTGAAGCCCATGGGAAGAGTCAAGAAGGAGGTGGCAGGCAGTGCCTTTCCTGGAGTCTGGACTCAGTGTATGGGAGGAACAGTTCAGACGCCGGCAGACACACGGAGGCCTCCATGGAGAGACTGCAGCAGAGTAGTGGGTGCCATGGATGCACTGCCTGGCAGTTGCCAGGAGCCGTTTTGAAGAGGGGCGAACTGAGCACAGAGCTCAGAACAACTGCTGGCCCCATCGAGTGGCTTCCAGCTGAGTTTAGGCCCACATAAGGTGTGCAAACCACTGCAGGCTCAGCAGGTCTGGTAAAACAGCATGAACTTCAGGAGAAAGAAAGGTGCAGGCTTGTGGTAGTAATCATGAAAGATTCCTGGAAAATAGCAAGGAATCACAAAAACTCAACCCAGCAACTGGTAAATGATGCAGAGAAGAATAACATAAGATCGATTGGGGAAAAAAGAGTGATTGGGGTCAATAAAAAAGCAGGAGATAGCACAAATGACAAAAAAGCTGTTTACAGAAGTCATAGCAGAAAAACCTCCCTGGCAGGGAAAAACAATTTGACATACAGATACTACAGTGAGGAATACAGAACTCCCAATTAGCCACGGTCAAAAAATATCTATAGGGGCTAGAGATTTAGCTCAGCAGCATAAGCACCTGCCTTGCAAGCAGGCGGTCGTGAGTTCGGTCCCCGGTACCAATAAAAATGAAAAAGACAAATATATATATATATATATATATATATATATATATATATATATAGCAAGGTATATAATAATCAAGATTCCAGAAATTCAACACAAACACAAAATAGTGAAAGCTGTTAGAGAAAAGAAACAAATCACCTGTAAAGGAAAGCCCATCAGAATCCCAGCAGACTTCTCAACACAAGATCTAGTCAAGGAGAGCTTGGAGTAAAGTACTTCAAACCCTAAGAGAAACCAACCTCCAACCCAAATTGATGTACCCCGCAAAGCTGTATCTCAAAATTGATAAAAAAGTAGATTGTTTCCATGACAACATCTGACGAAATTTATAAACACTAAATCAGCACTCCAGAATGTTCTGAAGGACATTCTAGATGAGATAATGAGGATTACAACTCCATGAACCCCAACAGAATGAATCTACAAGGCAAAGCAAAGGGAAAAAAACAGCCAACAACACAAAAATAACATGACAAGGATAATTCAGGACATATCAGTTACCATCCTCAACATTGTCTCAATTCAGTAGTCAGAAGAAACTGGTAGAACAAATCAAGAAGCAGGATCCAACAATATGCTGCATATGAGAAACCCACTTAATTCAAAAATTCTAGACTGAAAGTCAAAGGATGGATAACAGTATTTCACGTGATAGGAACCCAGAAAAAAGCAGGGATGGCTATCCTGCAAAGTGGATTTCAAGCTAGGACTGATTTAAAAGATAAAGAAGGTCGCTACATCCTTGTAAAGGGAGCAGTCTAAAAGGAAGAAATAGCAATTATAAATACATATGTAACAAATAACCAGTACACCCAACTTTATAAAACAAACACTAATATGATTATCAGAAAGTCACAATACCCTACTACTGGCACAAATAGATCAACTAGACAAAAAAATCAACAATGGAATATCAGAACTGAACCACACTTTTGAACAAATGGACTTAGTAGATGTTTACAGAATGTTCTGCCCTACATCAAAATATACATTCTCAACTGCACACAGGACATTCTCCAAAATAAACCCCATACTGCCTCATAGAATGTGCTTTAGTAAATACAAAGAAATTGAATTATCCCATGCATATCACCAGACCATAGTGCAGTGGAATTGGAAATCAATGGCAAAAAAACCCCACAAGAACTTCATAAACACATGGAAATTAAATAACACCTTCCTGTTGCAGGTGACATTAAAGAAGCGAGTAGACAGCAGGACGGTGGCCATGGAAGTCAGAATCCGCTAAGGAGTGTGTAACAACTCACCTGCCAAATAAAAAAAAAGAAGCGAGTAGACAATGTTATAGTCAGGGATTGTGCAGAGAACAATTAGAATCAGGACATGGAGTTTATAATACTGTTTTATGATGGGCACCCAGAGTTAACACAAGAAAGTGCAGGAAATCTATCCACAACACTAAAGACATAGAATATTTAGCCAGGGCCTCGATCCCACAGCAATGTCTCACAAGTCCAGATGAAAACCCAGAGCCCATTACAATGCCTTCCATGAGTCCAACTGGAGGTCCAGAGCCCACAGATGGACTCACACCAGTCTCTCTTATGGATCTGTGCCAGGAAGGCCCAAAGGTCAGCGGTGGAAGGCAGAAAGTCCATGCCAGCCGGGTGAAGGAGCTGTGCTGGTAGGTTGAGGGTTCTACTCTGGAGCCAGAGAAGTCACACGCACAGCAAAGACTAGGGCTGTCCTGAAAGGCACCACAGCCATCCTCGGCGACATGGAGGCCCCGAGCTCCTCCTCCAACGAGCACAGTTGGGTACATGCCAGGAAGCCAGCATGAGGAGTTTGTCCTGGAGACCAGGCGGCACACGTCTTCCCCTCCGGAGTGAGGAAGCAATGCTCAATGTGAGGACCAGAGCTTCTCCAGAGAATCTTAACAGCTCAAACAGCAACACACAGGAGAACCCACAATGCCTCAACACTTCAAAGCATCAATGCCTAGCTTCTCCTTCTCTGCACCTCTTTTTATGCTCGCAGCTCCCTCAGGTGGAACATCTACGCTCAGCAGCATGGTGACTCAATTCCGCTGATGTTAAGTTGACCACCAGTTTTTAATCCATAACAGACGGTTTCTACAATTAAATAATAATGCCAGTACAACATACTGGAGCATATGGACCCATTGAAGCAGTCCTAGGAGGGAAATTTATAGTAGTGGATACCCTGCCACCAGAAGAACTCAGCACCTGTGGAACACAGGGCGGTGTGATTTCTGGTACAGACAGGACTCCCGCCCAGGAGAAAGGAGCCCCTGCTAAGGAGGGGTGATTGGTTTGTGTGGCTTTCAGCCGAGACACAGGCTCACTATGTAGATGAGACCTTCCTTAAGCTCGCTGGGTAGCCTAGGCTGACCCTGAACCTGAGGTGATCCCCCGCCTCAGCCTTTTCAGTGTTGGGATGAGGTGACAGGTGTGCGTCGCCACATGTGGGGGAACTGCAAGGTGTTCTTTCTCTGCTCTCTTCTGTTTTTGGCAGTGCTGGGAGTTGAGCACAGGTTCTACCAGCATGCTAGACAAGTGCCCCTGGGATTGTTTTTGGTTTTGTTTTTTGCGGTTTTTTCTTTAATTGGGGTTTTTTTAAATGAGAATAATTTAGATAAGCTGAGAATGGCATTGTATTATGATGTTCCATGTAATACTGAGGAGAATTCCAGTTCAGCTTTCTTTAATCTTACCTTTTTCTTACAAGAGTTTCTGAATTATGCTCAGGGATTTGATAAAGGAACTTTTTTTTTTTTTTTGCCTTTTTGAAACAGGGTCTAGCTGTGCAGTTCAGGCTGGCCTTGAGCTTACTTTGTTATCCAAGCGGGTCTCAACTCACAGTAATCCTCCTGCCTCAGCCTCCAGGGTGCTGGGATTATAGGAATGCACCACCACGCTTGACTGAACTTTTTTTGTATGTGTGCCGATAATCAAATTCAGGACCTTGCCCTTGCCAGGCAGGTGCTGTGCCACTAGGCTATATCCCCAGCCAATAAATGAACTTTGACATTAAATGCTTTTAACAAGGAACCTACAGGCTGTATTTTTGTTTTGCTTTATTTTGTTTCTGTCTTTTTGAGACAGGGTCTCACTATGCAGTTCAGTTTGACTTGAACTCACTTTGTAGCCCATGTTGGTCACCTACCTCAGCCTCCTGAGTGCAGGAATTACAAGAATGCGCCACCACGCCCAGCTCAGGCTATATTTTGAAATCCATAAATGTATCTAGTAAGAACATTAGGAAACCAGGTGCTTGAATTTAAATACTCAAGAAAAGAATATTATCACATTTACCATTGTTGCCAAGAAAATTGCACTTGAGAAGAAATTAATGTTTTCTAAAGGAATTAGGTAGTAATAATGTTTATGTGATTGTACCATTGAATTGTGTACTTAAAAAAAAGTGAATTTTGCCAGGGATTTAGCTCAGCAGCCTAAGTGCCTGCTTGGCAAATGTGAGGTCATGGGTTCAATCCCCAGTACCAAAAAAAAAAAAACAAGTGAATTTTATGGTGCACAAACTTCATCTCATTTATTTTTATTTTTGTTTCTTTTCTTTCTTTTTTTTTTTTTGTTGTTGTTGTTGTTGTTGTTGTTGTTTTTAAGGCAGGCTCTCACTATGCAGTTCAGGCTGCTCTTGAACTCACTTTGTAGCCCAGGCTGGCCTCAGCCTCCTGAGTACTGGAATTACCTGGCTTTCATCTGTCTCTTATTTTGCTCTTTCTTTATGTGTTGGATTTCTAGTGTAATAGAAACCAGGTAATTAACATTGTGGTCTGATTTATACCATTTAACATTCATTTTAACAAAACAGAAAACACCTTACATTTCTCCCAGGCATGGTGACACATATCTCAACATTCGCAAGGCTGAGGCAGAGATATCTCCTCAAGTGCAGGGTCAGCCTGAATTACATAGTGTGTTTAAAGTCAGCCTTAACTACATAAATGAGACAGTGTCTCCATCGAAAAACACAAACAAATCATCCCCCTCCTAACAGCCACTCCTCCCTCGGCTGTGACACAGCCCATAGCCCTTCTGTCTGTGACAGAGGCAATCATGCACCCCTCTGTATTCCACAGGGTCTTAAGCTGTTTTTGTTTTTAATACTGGCAAAATATATTGCTCAGGCTCTACTGTGAGTTGGCATTGTGCCTCGTTTTCCAGCGAGTAAGTTGGAAAAGCCAAGTTGGTGCCCTCGCCCAGCTCCCTGAGGGCAGGTTGGGCCAGGACGGGAGGAGGTCTGTGCTTAGTTTTCTAACGCTTCCTGCCTAGTCTTTTTCCTGTGTCCTCTTCGTTGTGGCTGCTGACCTTTGCATGAGCACACTTGGGTGCCGGGCAGCCGGCCAAGAGTGACTGCAGGGCAGCTCGCAGGCACCGGCTATGTGGGGGGGGGGTAGCTACAGCTCACTGCCCAGCAGTCCTTCCCTTCAAACAGGGGGCGCTGTCCTGGGAGTGGGCCAGGTGGGGCGTGAGCATGGGCAGGCTGCGTGGGCTGCTTCACCCTGCCGTCCCTCTGCAGCACCCACTGCCCTCCGCTGCCGGGCAAGGGAAGGGCTGTGCAGAGGGCCATGCCAGCCGAGAGGACTGCAGGGCCAGCTTGGGGCGGGCAGCTCTGGCCGTGCCTCATGTTTGCCTTGAGAGACACCCCATCTTCCTGGGCTCGGGCTCTGGCTTGCCTTCGCGGCTGCCCTCGCCCTTTCCTGTGTCCTGAAGGGTTGCGTCCTCTGCTTTCCCTCCCGTGGATCCTGACGGGGAGCAGAGGGGCCCACGCTGAGCTCGGTCTCCATGAAGAACAGGGAGGCCCTCACCCCGGGCGCCTGGTTAGCACTGTTTCCCGGGAGCTGCTCGCTGGCGCCTGCAGCCCAGGTGGACGAGTGTCCCTTGCTCTGATGTTTACTGTGTGACCCACCTGTGACAGAAGAGCGCTGACTTAGGGTGGGCCGTAGTTCCTACCGCAGGGATACACAGAGATATACTCGGGAGTGACAGCCACTGCGGCTCTCACAGGAAATGTTTACTGCTGTCTCCTCTGTCGAAGATGTCTCCTCTTTGCTCACTGCTGGCTGGGCCACTGGCCCATTAATCCCAGCAGTGTCTTTCAGGGTGTTTGCTGCGCACGCGCAGCAGGACGAGGCACCCGCCAGCTCTGAGCGCAGAGCGCTGTCCTGGCTGTCCCGGCGAGACAGCTGGCTTCACCCTGGCCTCGCGCTGGGAGCAGCCTGGCCCAAGGCAGCTTCCTTTCTTGCTGGTGTCTTAAAGCTGTTTGTTCCTCTTGCATGTCTGTGGGGCTTGTGATTTTAACTCATCATCCAAATTAATTCCATGTGGAAGTGAGATGAGTACCTTAAAGGAAGCAGTAGTGGGGCCAGTGTAACTAGAAAGCATAGCAGTCTCCAAATTCCCACGCCTGTCAGTCCTTTAAATCCGAGATTGTGCTAGGATTTAACTCTTCTAAAGCAGGTCGATTGGCGTTGTCTTGAGGAGCCCTGCCCTTCAGGATAGAGCTGCTCCCGCAGGGCCTGGTAGAGTTGCAGGGTTACCTGAGAAAAGGCCGCTGGCCAGCCTAGAATTTGTGGAACCTGCTTTGAGGTGGTGACAGCACTGCAGAGTGGTCACAGCTGGCCTCATAGTGTATCCTTAGCTGCAGAGGCCACAGGGAGAGTGGAGCCTCCCATTGAAGTTAACCCCTCCCCAAAGGGCAGGCTGTGAGCCTCGGGCTTTCTCATCACACAGTGGGAGAAGTTGGACTCATCCCTGCTTCCCTGTGCCAGCTGGCACTGGTAGTGGGTGGTTTTACATTTCTGCCATGAGATACATTCTGGAAACTGTTGGGTGATTGCTGGCTGGCTACAGACCGTCTTCGTGAGCAGTTCTAAGTTCAAATGGGATATTGGCTTCTTAGTAGCAGCTGGCAGAAAGAGCTTTATTACTGCTCTTTTGAGGCCTGAATACCAGCACAAATAAGGAGCTGGATTTTAGTAGACGTCACCTGGGAAAGCAGGACTTGAATCCTCTCTTGTCATTCCAGGAGGTTCATGGAAGTCACAGCAGGGGTTTAGCATGGAATGCCACATGAACCCCTTGAGGTAGCATTGGAGCCGCAGAGCAGGATGTCTGTCCAGGAGGCCAGGATTGCTTTTTGGGCTCCAGCACTCTTAGCTGATGCGGTCACACGCTGCTGTAAGGGTCCGCTTGCACACGTACAAACAGAGAACACCTGTGCCCAAAGTGGTGGGCACACAGCGGGTGCTTATGTGTGCTCTGCCTTCAGGACGCGGGCCATGGTCCTTTGCCTCCACAGAGACTGGATTGATTGTCTGCTTGTGTTTCAGTGATGTTGTGGTCCAGATAGTGGATGCTCGAAACCCACTCCTGTTTCGCTGCCAGGATTTGGTAAGTGCCAATTGCCGTCCTTGGGACAGCAGAGAGGCCGGAACCTCAGCACGTGCCTGCGGCTGCTGCTCTGCCCTCCTTTCCTTGAGGCCCTGGGCTCGCACAGTGCGTCTGCTTGGACAGGTGACTTGTCAGCGGCTGTTTCCGTCTGCAGGAATGCATCGTGCTGCTCAGGTTCCATTGAATTTAGATGCCACTTTATTAATATTCTTTTGCCAGTTTCCCAGTTTTCAAGACACTGATCGAAACAGCCTTGTGCCGGTTTAAGAGGATCCTCCAACTCTAATCACCTCTCCTCTTGATCCTTCTCACCTGAGCCTGCTCACTACTTTTTGTGGCGTTTCACAACTGTATAAAAACACCACAAGGAGTGGTGACTGAGGTGTAAGATTATGTGAAATCTCAATTAATAAAACATTGTACACATGTGAGGGGATCGTATTTCTGTTTGAGAACAATAGATAGTTACTATATTTCAGGTTTTGTGGTTTGTTTTTTTGGGTTTTTTTTATTTTTTTTTTTTTTTGTTTGTTTCTGTTTTTTTGAGACAGGGTCTCACTGTGTATCTCAGGCTGGTCTCAAACTCACAGCGATCCACATGCATCAGCCTCCCAAGTGCTGGGATTGCAGGCATGTGCCAGCACACGGCAGGTTTTTGTTGTGCATTTTGTTTTGTTTTTTAAACTGGTAAGTAACAAAATGTTTTAACACTGAAACCTTTTGTTCAGAGTTTACTGAAAGAATTGTTTACAACATACTAAAATTTAAAATCTACACTAGAAAAAGATTTGAAACTATTGCTGGCGATCTTCAGTATATAATCGGCCCGGTTTTTTACTGGTGTGCAAGGTCTCTCTATCTTGCCTTCCACAGGAGTGTTACGTGAAAGAGATCGATGCCAATAAAGAGAATGTCATCCTGATCAACAAGGCAGACCTGTTGACTGCTGAGCAGCGCAGGGCCTGGGCCGCGCACTTCGAAAGCGAAGGTGTGCAGGTGATTTTCTGGTCAGCTTTGGCTGGAACTTCCCAGCTGAATGAGGATCCAAAGGTAACCTTAGCAGGGTGGTCTTGAGGGAGGGTTTTGTGCACAGTAACGTGCTTCATTTGGGTTTTTTTCTTGGTGGAGACTTACTAGCTGTGCTTTTTAGGGTTTTTTGTTGTTGTTGTTGTTGTTGTTTTGTTTTATTTGTTCATTGTTAATAGTCTGACATCCCTAGTGTTGGGCACTGATACTTTAATTTTTTTTTTAATTTTAGGCAGGAAGTTTTCGTTTCCTAATGACCTTGTAGTTGCTTTTAAGAGAAGTTAGAACAAAAGTGTACAACTGAAGGATGTAGTGACTTCTCCGGGCTGATCCAAATCTCTTCACTTTGTTTTGAAAATGAAGAAACTTAAGTACCCTTAAATTAAGATATGCCATGTTATTTCCCTTTAACTCAAATTTTACAAAAACAACTTAGTGCTTATTTTAAGTATAAAAAGAAATTAGTACTAGAACTCTAAGCCTGGTACCCCTTTGTCCTGCCCCTCTTCGGTTGGCTCTGCGTTTCTCATCCTCTGAGGTGCAGGGGGAGCCAGTCTGACCGTCCCCTCCTGCCTGGCATGGCATCTCAGGGTGACTTCCAGTGGCCAGCTGGCTCAGTGCTTTTTCTGTCTGGATTTGGGAACTCTTTGCCCTGGTCTGTCCCTGAGTGCGTGGCTTCAGCTCCTTGGTTTCCTCTTTACAGCCTGCGAGTCTTCTGAGATCAGATCCCTCAGCATGGCTCGAACCCCTTCCCAAGCACAGTGACCAAGTGCAGTATGAGGGGCGGCAGAGACTCCATCTTCTTGTGATCAGGTCCCCCTCAGTTTGGAGATCTGACATTTATCCCCCTTCACAGCCCTGGGTTGCTGTGGAAGCTGCCACCCTATAAGTGATCAAGTCCCACGAATATTTTTTTAAGATTTTTTTTTTTTTAAATCAAGTGTCCTGGCACATTTTGGGTATATTTAATGATCACATTCGTTACAGGGAATTTGTCTCTGTACATGATACAACATAAGTGGTTTTTCTTCCCATTCCCTCCCTTCAACTCTTCTTCCCTTCCTTATTTACAAAAGCTTTGTTTCCAACTTTTCCTTTTAAGACTTTGATTTTTTGTGGGGTTTTTTTTTTTTTTTTTTGGTGTTTTTGTCTTTTTTTGAGGCAGGGTTTCATTATATATGGTTCAGCCTAGCCTTGAACTCACTTCATAACCCAGGCTGGCCTTGAACTCAGGGCAGTCCTCCTGCCTCAGCCTCCTGAGTGCTAGGATTACAAGTGTGCACTACTGTGCCCAGCTTAAGACTTTGATTTTTAAAATGATCCAGAAAAATTTACAGTGAGGACACAGTGTCTTCTTTGCATTCATTGTTCATTCATCATGAAAATTGCTTCAGTTGTACAGCTCTCTAACAAGCAGTGTTTCTTTTTAAGGTGCCAGAGGTGATCGTGAAATCCTAGTGTTTTCTCCTAATGTTTAGGATGCCTGTTTAACCAGGTTCACTGTGTCCCTTTCTGTCACTATTAACACCCAAACCCTAAATGATTTAGGGATGATAGGGGGTCTGTCACATTTCCAAATCCTGACTAGTTCGCCCTGGGATGGAATTTGCTGCTTCTGTCTGTGTGTCGTGGAGCTTTTTGACTTACTAAAGGCAGTGACAGAGGGTAGCTGGGCTGGGTATAGCTCAGTAGTAAACTGTTTGCTGGCACATACAAAAGTCTGCAGCTTCACACAAAACGGGGGCAGTGGTTTCCTTAAACATGCAGAAGCATGTAAAATGGCTCTTACATGACAAATTATGCTCTTGTTTTGTGCAGAGTATAAAAATGTTTTACTGTAAAAGAAAAAAGCTTTGTTTTATTGTACATCCCAGAGCATAGCAGTGTATTGCCAAGGAGTCAATGTAAACACTTGACCTTGCTTTGAGGTTTATTTTTAAGTTAGATAAGCAGTTCGTGGAATTCTCTGTGAAGTTCAGAGGATACAGAAACAGCTGAAGGCATGCGACTCTGTGGTCCTGCATGGAAGGCTCTGCCACCTGCTGCATGCGGGTGACTTTTTTTGGCTCCATTCATCTTAGGTAACTGGTTCGTGAGTGTCGTCCCTCGTGTGAAAAGTGTGGTTACAAATTTGAGGGCTTTCTGTTGCTGTCATTTCACCAGGAGCCAGAGCACAGCGAAGCTGGAGAGGCCAGCACGGCCGAGTCTGCAGACTCCAGCTCAGAGGAGGACACAGGCAAGCCAAGCCCTTGCCCAGACAGTGAGGCGGTCAGCGAGGACGACAGCGAGTATGAGGACTGCCTGGAGGAAGAGGAGGAGGAGGAGGAGGAGGACTGGCACACGTGCTCAGAGGAGGGCAGCGGCGCCGAGGAGGAAAAAGAGGAGGAGGAGGCGTACAGCCGGGGCTGGAGGGACAGTCCGGCCAACCCAGGGGCCTCGACTGGGGAGGCCCCACAGAGCAGGCTGCCCCGCAATCTCAGCCACCTGGTGTCCAGGCAGGAACTGCTGGAGCTCTTCAAGCAGCTGCACGGCGGGAGAAGGGTGAAGGCCGGGCAACTCACTGTGGGCCTGGTAAGAGGAACCACACGCATAAGGGTCTTCACTCCTGTCCTTTGGCAGCCATGCAGGAGCCCCTAGAATCAAGAACATGTGGCCTCCTTGTTCCAGTGGCTTCCGGATGAGCCACTGGTACAGCTCAGAGTTGCACCCTCGGGGCTGTATTGATTCCTCCCCATGCTTGGTCCTGCTCTCCAGCCACTCCCTCCCTCTGTCCAGCCCTGGGCTGTGGAGTTACCAGAAGAGGCAGGTGGGCTGAGAGTAGCTGTGCACCTTGCCGACTACACTGATCATCCCACGTGGCCTGTAGGAGAACCCTGGCACTGTCCCTGGGCAGATGGGACAGGTGTTTTGCTGCATGGACACTCCCGGTAAACGGGAGACAGAATCACCTCCCCACTCATACAGTGCTCACTCCACAAATGGTGATGAAAGTACGCATACCCCAAGGGCTACAGCACACCTCCAGGTGCCCCTGGCCTTCTCAGAGGAAGTGCAAGGTATCAGAGATGGGTAACAGAGCTCTCCTTCAGGAGGGCAGCACAGAGTGGAGAGCGGGAGTTACGGCAGGAGGAGACACCCCCTCCTCAGTTCCTGTCCAGCTCATCATGAGGGCTGGATGTTCTTTTCTTTAAAATTTGAGACAGTCCTGCTGTGTAGTCCAGGCTGTCTTTGAACTCACTGTGTATCCCAGGCTGGCCTCGTTCATGGGATTCTCCTGCTTCAGCCTCCTAAGTGCTAGGATTGCAGGCTGGCTGGTCTTGAGCTGACTCCTCTGGATGACTGAGGAAGATGAACCATGTATTTGTGCACTAGCAACTATTTGAGTCAGGCAAACAGGGGTGTGAGTCCCCATCCTGCAGTAGGGCTGGCTTACCCGGCATGCTCGCTAGGGAAGCGACACATTTCCCTCAGCTTTATGGCCTCATCCTCTGTCACATGCACTAAAAAGCGCAGCTTTGCTACAGAATTCTTTCTCTTATGGCAACAATGAGCAGCCCTCCCTTTCTGAATGCCCTGCTCTAGGAACCAGGGACTGATTTATTGACTCACTCTTCAGACAGCTGTTGTAAATCAACCACAGTAGTAGTTTATAACCAGTGGGTGACGTTGCTTGTAGGTTAAAACCTGTGAAGCTGGGCATGGTGGCGCACTCCTGTAATCCCAACACTTGGGAGGCCAAGGCAGGAGAACTATTTGCAAGTTCAAGACCAGCCTGGGCTACAAAGTGAGCTCAAGGCCAGCCCAAACTGCATAGCAAGACCCTGTCTCAAAAAGACCAAAAACAAAGAAAATCTGTGAAAGTGCAGTTGTCCCTGGAGAGGGACGTGGATAAATGCACCTAGTCCACAGGAGAGAGAGAGGTGTACTGCCTAAGCATCTGCCCCGAGGTCTCACAGAGCTGGCGCAGGTGTTGGCCTCTGCTGTACGATGTCTCTGGGCATCTGGACGCTGCCTGAGACTGCTTGTGACTCCTGCGTCTCTTGTAGGTAGGCTACCCTAACGTTGGCAAGAGTTCCACCATCAACACCATCCTCGGCAACAAGAAAGTGTCTGTGTCCGCCACACCTGGCCACACCAAGCATTTCCAGGTAGCCCTGAGGGCCACTCACCTACAGCCCCGCTCTGCTCTGGAGCTGCATGCTGAGCGCACGCGCCTTCCTTCCCCTGCAGACCCTCTATGTGCAGCCCGGCCTCTGCCTGTGTGACTGCCCTGGCCTGGTGATGCCGTCCTTCGTGTCCACTAAGGCAGAGATGACCTGCAGTGGAATCCTGCCCATTGACCAGATGCGAGACCATGTTCCTCCTGTGTCACTCATATCCTTCCTGCGGTCTGGGCCAGTGAAGCCTCAGGGATTGGGGCAGCACTGTCCAGTGCTGCATAGAGACTCAGGTCTGAGCCCGTAAGGGAGGATCTAAGTGTGGATTCTGCCCACCTGGATTTCCGGTGAGCCAGCTGAGGACTTGTAAGTCAGAACCCAGGCCACACACCCAGCTCCCCCTGCCACTTGACCCGGGGAGTGTGCTTCCTGTCTGACACCTTCCCTGCTCTCTAAAATGGGTAACATTGTCCAAAAGTGTCGGCCACCGGGCGCTCTGCTGCCTCTCAGTGGCAAGTGACCATGTTGTGCGCCTCCTGGAGAACACCGTGCACTGCCCTGGCTGGGGGGGAGATGGGGGTTCCCACCTAGTGGAGAGCAGGGGGCTGCTCTGTTCTGCAGGTGCCAGCAAACGAGCGACAGGAGATTCTGAGCCGGTGGCACTGGAGCAGGAAGGGTGCAGTTCCCCGCTCCTTAGCAAATCCCAAAGCCCCTGTTCTGTTCTGTGAGATAATGAGCAAAACTGGGCGTGGTGCTGCTCACTTGCAGTTACAGCACTTTGAGACAGGAGGATCACACGTTCAGGTCCTTCCTGGGGAAATTAAGACCCTGTCTCAAAAATCAGAAAGGGTATGGGAATGTAGCTGAGTGCAAGGCCCTGGGTTCCATCCCCAGTATCATTCTAAGTAAATAAAATAGTGCATCACTAAAATGGGATATGAAACAGTTGTTGAAAAGAATGCACTAATTGTACCTCCCAGCCCTTTTTAGTTTTATTCTGAGATGGTGTCTAAGTCACCAAGTTACCTAGGCTGGGCTTTAGCTTGCAGTCCTGCCTCAGCCTCACAGAATACTGGGATTACAGGGATGTGTCTCCATTCCCACTAAAGGCTTGTATTTTTATTTTTCTACCTTTCTTTTGGTTTTTTTGTTTTGTTTTTTGAGATGGTCTCACCATGTAGTTCAGGTTGGCCTTGAGCTCAGCAATCCTGCCTCAGCCTACCAAGTGCTAGAATTAGAAGCCGGTACCACCATGCCTGGCCAGGTCTGAGCACAGAGGTTACTATGCCGTCAGACGGGTGCTCGGTGCTCACAGTTAGGCAGTGAGGTGCTGTGGGCAAAGCACTCAGGTGGGCCCTGTCTTCTAGCAGTGTCAGCCCAGGCAACGGGGAACTCTCATGGGGGACAGGGCAAAGCAGGGCACTGTGACTGTCTTAAGAAAGCACAAGTAAACAGAGATGAGACAAGAGGAAGTCAGCTTGCATGGTCACAGCTGTTAGAGACAAGGACGCCTACGCCCGCGTCTTCCATAGGTTTCTCACAGGCCCGAGGCTCATTCGTAACACTGCCTTGCAAGGGGAGGGTAACTTAGTTACTAGAGAATTCGCTGGAAATGGCCACTGAGATTTAAGGTTTTGTTTGAAAGGAAAAGAAACTGATGGTTTCCATGCATGAGCAGTCAGCCTGTCTGGGAAGGAGAGTGAGTGTTGGGACGGGGTCAGCTGCAGGCAGTGGGCACCTTGACTGAGTCACGTTTGCCAGAATATTCCCCGGCGCGTCCTGGAAGCCACCTATGGCATCAGCCTCACAAAGCCCCGGGAAGACGAAGATCCTCACCGGCCTCCCACCTCAGAGGAACTGTTGACGGCATATGGATGTGAGTTTTTTTATTTTTAAACATGAATACAGCAAAACAACGTAGTTAATAGAAATGGTTCATTGAATTGAGGAGGCAGTTTATGAGAACTGATCCAGGGTAAGTAGGTGCTTTACCCCTGAGCTGTACCCCCAGCTCCTTTAGTTTTTTGATAATACCCAAAATAACTATTTTTCATCCAGTGCTACATGGTAAAATCAGTAAGAGGAAAGACCCCACATGTACCCTTTCTGAGATCACTGTCCGTAGCTCTGTTCAGAATGGCATCTCTGGCAGTGGATTTTCAAAGATTGCCCAGTTGCTCTAATGTTTTTTATGGTTTCTCTAACCCTGTAGAAGTTGACATTCTCTAATAGACTCTTTCCTTTTGGGCTTGACTGGGTTTGGTCAACAAGTTACCTGGAAGCCTTCCCTGGGTTTAAAGGACAAAACTATCTTCCTATGGTACTTGTTATTTTGAGATTTTTTTTAACCTTCCTAGATTTATTTTTGTATATGGTGTAAATTAGGATTTTAAATCCCTTCTTCCAAAGTGAGAAGGGCTATACACAGCTAGTGCATACGGGGGCTAAGTTCTGAGGCCATCCTGTGGGCCACACCCCATATCCTTTGTCCCTGTGCTTTGCCATGGTCTACTGAGTCAGTGTTAAGGCAACTGTATGGTCTGTTTGGAAAATGGGGGAAAAATACAGAAGTTTATCACTAGAGAAGGAGGCTTGCTGCCAGGCAAGGCTGTTCACACCTGTGTTCCCAGCTTTTGAGACCGAGGCAGGACAATCACAAGTTTGACTCCAGCCTGCATAACTTAGATTCTGTTTCTAGACATAAGCTAAAAAGGTTTAAGGATGTAGTTTGGTGGCAGCGAGCCGTAGGATTCAGCCCAATTACTGCTGCAAATTAGAACAAAAAAGCTTGCTCTGCGGTGTTTGGCTCTGCTGCTAAAAATATTCCGGGGTAGCCTCTGTACCAGCCTCCAGGTGAAGGAACAGGAGCTCTGAGGTACTGTGTGCGTGTCTCTCGGTGTGGGCTGCGTGGCTTTTCAGGGACCAGGACAACTATGCAGTCTGTCCCCTGTGTCAGCACGCGTTAGTGCTAAACAAAAGGTCCTCTGCAGGGCAGTGCAGTGACTGGACCCCAGGAGGGAGTGCGGGGAGGAAGGTGAAAGGCGCGCTGCCGCGGTGAGCGCGGCGTCGCGGTGCCGCCTGGGCCACGGTGCTGCATGTTGGTTTCTCCACAGCCATGCGGGGCTTCCGGACGGCACACGGCCAGCCCGACCAGCCTCGCTCTGCGCGCTACATCCTGAAGGACTACGTCAGGGTGAGTGAGCCTGCGCCCCGCCGCACGCTGCGTTCGCAGCTGAATTGCCCACTTTCAGGTTCCAAGACGGTTTTTCATTGAGATGGAGTACGGTGGGGTTTGGTTTCCATCGGGGGCAGTTAAGGCTGCCGCAGAGCCCAGGGCCAGAGCAAGTACACCATGAACATGAAAATACGAAAGCAGGTCTATGCAGTGACACCCTGCCATGTTACAAATGAGGACACTATTTGGGATTGCTCATTGCTGAGCAGTGTCTGTTTCATACTGAGACATGTTATGTAGTGAGTTAAATTTTTTTTCGAAAAACCAGCATTGTCGTAGTTCCTAGTTATAACTAGTTGAGAAGCTTGGACTTTATTGCCTCCACTTCTCAAGCCCAAGTCCAGGGAGCTCTTGGAGTATAAAAGTGGGCCGTGCCGTTTGACTTCAATTCCGAAAGAACGCAGTTACTGCTGTTTGGATGGAAAGTCATTTATTCATTCCACTTGTAACTAGAGGTTACAGAGATGAGCTGATAAGCATAGCTTTTAAAGTGTCTAGTGTAAAAAGACCCTCTGAACCGAGGCCGCAGGCATAGTCCTTCATATTCATATAAGAATCCAAAGAAGCCAGGCGTGGTGGTGCACACCTGTAATTTTAGTACTCCTGAGGCAGGAGGATCCAGCCTGGACTGTAGTAAAACCATGTCTCAAAAAAGGAAAACTAGAAAGGATTATCTTTGGAGTTCCCCACGCCCACCCGTGGTGCGGGAGATGGAACCAGCCCCTCCCACCTGCTAGGCAAGTCTAGGGCTCCCTTGATGTCACAGTCCTAGTCTAATGTTCCCATTGGTACAGTCAGAATCTTCAAGTCCTGTCTTGGCTTTGGCTTTGGTTTTGTTTTGGAGAATATTTAGCAAAAGTCTGATCTTAAAAGCTCACTAAAGAATCCTTAGAGATGCAAGCAGTGAAAAGAAGCCTGGAGAAGAATGACTCATTCAGGCATGAAGCTGTGGGACAGTGAGCCCCGCCCACAGAGGATGGCATCCGTGTGGAGATTAGGCCACCGGAAATCAGTGCGGCTGGGTCCTCCTACGGCAAGCCCCTGTGGGGGTGACCTGCTTGGTGTGTCTTCCTACGGAGTGCTGTGGCCTGTGGTACACTGTCTCCTGTCTCTCTGCAGGGTAAACTGCTGTACTGCCACCCTCCCCCCGGCATAGACCCCGTGACCTTTCAGTACCAACACCAGCGACTCCTGGAGAACAAGATGAACGGTGCTGAAATAAAAACGCAGCCAAGCAGAGACAGAAAGGAGAAGCAGATTGAAAATGTCGTTGACAAAACATTTTTCCATCAAGTAAGTTGTAAGATTTTTCTTTAACTTCTGATCCAACCCATTCTTTCTCACAGTAAAGATTGAGGTGTTTGCAAACCAGAAGTTCACTCATACCATTTGAGATGGTAAAATCCAGTGGTTTATGGTATTTGAGAGTTGTACAGTCCATTTTAGAAATACCTGAAGGCCTGTAATCTCAGCAATCGGGAGGCCGAGGCAGGAGGATTGCTGTGAGTTGAAGATCAGTTTGAACTGCATAGTGAAATCCTGTCTCAAAAGACCAAAGAAGAAAAAAAAAATCCCAAAAAGAAATCTCTTAGTCTACACTTAGCAGTCTTGGCCTGCTCCCCTCCCCCAGCCCTGCCAAGCCCCAGTCGGCTCAGTGAGTACGACTTTGCCTGTCCTGGACCTCCCGAGGACGGGACCGGACGCGGTGCTCTTTGTGACTCCTCCTTTCACTTTGCATGTGTCCTCAGGGTTCCCACCGTGTTGTACAAGTGCAGCGCTCAGTATTACTGCGAACACGAGTGGACGTCTTTTATCCATGTGGCTGTGGGCAGACATTCACCTTTTAGCACTAATGCTGCTGCTCTGCTGTGATCGATTCTATAGAGCTCCTGTAGGGCGGCGGTTCCCTCCCCTCAGTCTGTGCCCAGGAGCAGGGTTTCCAGGTGTGAAGTCCCAGAGGTGCCAGTGCAGTTACTCTGTCACATCCAAACCAGAGTGCTGAAGCTCTGATTCCTGCACGTGCTCAGCGGTGCTTTCTATCTCCCTCATCTCCCCTTTGCCCATCCTGATGGGTGTGAAGCACTGCCTTATGTTTTGATTTCTGTTTCACTGATCCTCTTTAGATGCTCATATGTACATGGGTATTTTCCTTGGAACAGTGTCAGGTTTTGAGGGGGGGTTGTTTCTTTCTTTCTTTGTTTTTCTGAGACGGGGTTTTGCAGATGGTACAGGCTGGCCTTGAACTTCAGCAGGCCTCCCGCCTCAGCCCCTGCCGACTTCTGGGCCTTCCCGGGCCTGTACCACCACGCCTGGGAAACACTGCTTACTGCTAGATTCCAGGGGTCTATATATGCTTTGGATATCGTGGCCCTGGGTGTTGCTATCAGTTGTCCTCATCAGACTTATGATTAGGAAGGGCCAGAGAGACAGGCTTCCTACAAGTCTCCTGCACCTTACAGCCCTAACAACTCGAATTGCTTACAGCTGCAGTTTAGAAGTAGTGTTGTAAAAGACAGGTATGTGCACAGGACAGTTAAATCATTGCACTGTGCTTAACATGCTTCAGAAGTGCTTTTAAGTGGACTGTGGGTGTAGCTCAGTGGTAACTAGCATGCAGGAGCCCCTGAGTTCGATCCCTAGTTCTGCGAAATAATAATGATAGTAGTAATAGTAGTAATGATAATAATAATGCTTTTAAGTGGTTGCATCTGAGAGAAAGGAAGAGTCGCTGTGTCTAGGCCAAGGCAGGCTGCTGGCTCTCTGGTACGGCATCTGTGTGCCTCGAGTGTGCAGCCTATGTGCAGCCGCAGGTGTTCCCACCCCCGCTTCACACTCAGGGACTGCAGCCCCAGGACACAAGTGATTCTGCCAAGGCCCAGGCCCAGGCCCTTGTTTGACATGTGGCCGAGACGAGCTTGGATACCGGTGGCTGTTGGTTTGAATTATTCCCAGGTCTGCGCCAGTGTCTGGAAAGGACCCATATGCAGAGGGACTACGGGTTCTTTCTCAGGCCTGCCGCTGACATAGCAGACGTTTAATTTGAATGTTTACTGCTTACAGGAAACTTCTAAAGGCCACATATGCGAAAGCCAACAGCTTCCTATTCATTACAGTCCACATTCTTGACCCTTAGCCTCCAGAGTGCGCTAGCGTTACACAAAGATGGGCTGTTGCTTACACTCACCACCCTGTTGGATTCTGTTAAGTAAACAGTTTCCTTAGTTAGTTTCTGGTTTGGAACCCTTGGGGACACCCCACTGCTGCCATGTTTCTTCTGCTTTACAGGAGAACGTGAGGGCGCTGACGCGAGGGGTCCAGGCTGTGATGGGTTACCAGCCCGGCAGCGGCCCGGTGACCGCAGCTGCTGTGAGCTCCGAGAATGTGGTGGGGAAGCCCTGGAAGAAACATGGCAACAGGAACAAAAAGGAGAAAAGCAGGAGACTCTACAAGCACCTGGACATGTGACTGCAGCCAGGCACGACAGAGGAAGCTGTGTGGCATAGGGGGATGAGCAGCTGCTCAGGCCTTGGACTGCCCCAGACAGGCACCCACCAGCCTGCTCCTGGGGAGCACAGCCACACCCGCAGGCTTGGCACCAGGATGGGGCTGCGTGGACCAGGCTCTGAGCAGCAGAGTCAGGAGCCCGGGAGCAGTTCCTTGGAGGGCAGAGCTCGGGATTAGGGGCGGATGATGGGATCTGTGTGGACGGGCACCGGTTTGTGAAATCAGGAGAGTCTGTAGATTAAAGTTCAGCTACCACTGGGCCGTCTCCCTGATATGAGTGGGTGAACTGCCGACTGCCCAGTGCACATCCCACCACAGGCTTCTCCGCTAGGGTTTCTGGGCTTGAGGGGCTTCTTTGAGGGCATGATTTAGGTTGGGAGGCCCTGGCTTGCATGCAGAGTGGCAAGAGCAGTCCTTTCCAACACCACCTCCCGTCACGGTGCCCTGCACACCCGCCTGTCCCAGGCCCCTGCTCCTTTACATTCGTAGCCTTCTCAGGGCCGTGTTATTCCCCCAACTCAGAGCTTAGCCAAAAGCATCTCTTATAGCGGAGCTGCTTTAGGAACACACCTCCCCGAGACAGAATCCAAGAAGACGCCCCGAGCCCCGGGAAGCCCTCCCAGGGCTGGTGATAAAGCCAGGTGCCACACAGCAGCTTGTCACAAGGGACCGCCACTGCAGATGATTTCGGAAGGGGTCACTGGCCTGGCTGTCTCAGCTGTCTTAGCTGTACCTGTGCTCTTGACGGGCACATGACAAAGCAATTCCTGTCTCTGCCAGTAAGTGGGGCACAGCTGTATTTAGGATGTGTTACCCCAGAAAACTGTTATGTCCAGGAATTAAAAAAGGTTCCATTCATTCAGTTAACAGAGTTCTTTAACAGCCTCTAATGCCAAGAAAAGCAGCACCACTAGGTGTGGAGGCGCAGCACTGGCGGCTGAGGCAGGAGGGTTACCGGGAGTTCAGAGCCACCCTAGACTACACAGTGAGCTCAGCTCAAGGCCAGCCTGATACCTAGCAAGACAGACAAAAGGAGAGCAGCTCAGGAGCAAGCACTGGAGGACAGGAACGAGTGAGGGCCGGGTTCTGGGCCACAGGGCAGCTGCAGGGACTCTGGCTGTTTCCTGGGAAATACAGCAAGCTAAGCAGTTTGCACAGTGGGTGAGCCTCACTTGAGTGCTCATATGACAGGTGACCATCTGTCTATCCAGCTCTTGTTCTAGATGTTCTGGCCAAAAGGAGCGTGGGTAAGGGTGGGGCTGGTCGGTGACACCTCCACTTGCGTGTGTGTAATTTGTTGTTTATTCTAGGGCTGGCTTTAGCCCAGCGGTTCCTTCGAGTCTGGCTTCCCAACCACCCGGGCCGATTGATCTGGTGGTTCGAGACCCGAGGGCGCTCTCCATTCCTTTAAAAACAAAAAAAAATTTTGTTGTATATTCTAGATAGCAGTCCTTTGAGGAACAGCTGGCAGAATTTTTTTCCCAAATGTGAGTTGTCTCCACTCCATTAGTGGTTTCTTTTGCTATGCAAAGGCCTTTTGTGTGTGTGTCTCTTTTTGAGACAGGGTCTCACTATGCAGTTCAGGCTGGCCTTGGGCCTCACTTTGTAGCCCAGGAATCTTGCTTCCCTTGCAGTTGTGTTAAACAGTTGGAGATGCAGCAGCATTAGGGCCTCTCGAAACTTCTTGTAGAGTTTAGTTGTGAATGCATTGGACCCTGAGCTTTTCTTTGTTTGATGGGTTTTTAATTACATTTCCAATTTCATTGACTGATTTTGATTTATTTTGAATTTTTGTATCTTGATTCAACTTTGGTGATTGATTTGTGTCCAGGAATCTGTCCATTGCTTCTGTGTTTCCCATTATATTACAGTACAGGTTCTCAAAGTAGATATTGGTGATCTTTGGGATTTCTACAGCATCCATTGTGATTTCACCCTTTTCATTCCTAGTTGCATGGATTTGAGTATTTTCTTTCCTTTTTGTTGATAATTTCATCTAAGGGTTTGTTGATTTTATTTAATCTTTTAAAGAACTATTTTTTTAGGGGCTGGGGATTTAGCCCAGCGGCATAAGCGCCTGCCTTGCAAGCAGGCAATCGTGAGTTCGTTCCCTGGTACCAATAAAAAGGAAAAAGACAAAAAAAAAAAAAAAAAAAAAAGAAAAAAATAGTTCTTTCTTTTTTTTTTTTGTCTTTTTCCTTTTTATTGGTACCAGGGAACGAACTCACGATTGCCTGCTTGCAAGGCAGGCGCTTATGCCGCTGGGCTAAATCCCCAGCCCCAGAACTATTTTTTTCTTAGTGTCCAAAACATTAATTTCTGCTCTGATCATTATAGTATCCTCACTAATACAATCTTTGGCCTTGATTTGTTTTTCTTTTTCTAGAAGTTTGAGGTTCAATGTTAGGTTGTTATTTGAGATTGCTCTGTTTTCCTGACATGAGCATTCACTACTGTAGATTTCCTTCATAGCACTGCTTTCATTGTGTCCTCTAAGTTTCAGTATGTTGTATTGGCATAATCATGGCATAATCACTTAATTGTCTAATTTCTTCTTTAATTTCATCTGTTACCTGTTAGTTATTCAGGAAGGTGTTAAATAACTTCCATGAATGTGTGAAGTTTTTGTGGTTTCTTTTGCTATTGATTTCCATGTTCATTGCAGTATGGGCTGATAAGATGCATGGGGTAATTCCGTCCCTTTGCATTTACTTGCGTGTGTTCTGTGAGCTATTGTGTGTCTTGGAGAATGTCCCGTATGCAGCCGAGAAGCATGTGTGTCCTGATCTGTGGGGTGAACACTGCAGGCATCGATTCAGTCCATTTGTTCAAAAGTTTTGGTCAGCTCTGACATTTCTTTATTGAGTATTTGTTTTGGGGGGGGGGGTTGTCCATTTTTCTTTTGTGACAGTAGGCTCATGAGGTTCCCCATTATAATTTATTAGTGCTTATTTGGTTTTTCATGTCCTTAATATGTTTTATATAGTTGGATGCCCTGGTATTTATGGATGCCTATGTATTTATGATTGTTACCTCTTCCTCTTGGATCATTCCTTCTGCAAGGATGTAGTGACTTTCTTTGTCTCTCATTCAATCTTGACTTGAAATCCACTTTGTCTGCAAAGAGAATAGATACTGGGCTGGGGATTTAGCTCAGCAGCATAAGCACCTGCTTTCCCAGCACGAGGTCATGAGTTTGATTCCCGGTACCAAAAAAAAAGAATGGATACTGCTGCTTTTTTCCAGGTTCCTGTGCATGGAGTATTGTTTTCCATCCATTGACTTTATCTATGAATTTCTTTTTTTTTTTTAAGTTAAATGTTTTTCTTATATGCAGCATATGGTGGCGTCTTGCTTCTTGATCCATTCTGCCAGTCTGTTTCTTTTAATTGATGAATTGAGTTTTTTTTCTTCTTTCTTTCTTTCTTTCTTTCTTTTTTTTTTTTTTGTTTTTTGAGACAAGGTCTTGCTCAGGCTGGCCTTGAGTTCACTTTGTAGCCCCAGAGTGGTCTCAAACTTGCAGCAATCCTCCTGCCTCAGCCTCACAAGTGCTGGGATTGCAGGTGTGTGCTGTCACACCCAGCTGAGACCGTGTACGTTGAAGGTTTGAACTGATACATACAGATTTATCCTTGTCCTGTCTTTGGTTCCTCCCCACCCCGTCACTATTTAAGTGTTCTTTTGCCTGGTGGATTCATTCTGTGGGAGTTTTTGTAGTCCTTGTTACCTCTTTCTCGAATGTCCTCAGAACATCGTGGTGTACTGGCTCATGAATTTCCTCACGTGCTGTTTGTCATGTTCTTATTTCTGCATCAATTTTAAAAGATCTGGGCTGGAAGTTGATTTCTTTTAGAGCTTTAAGTACTTCACTCCACCCTCTTGACTTGAGGGTTTAAGAGGTCTGCCGTTGATTCTCATTGGCTTCCCTTTATAGATGATTTGTTTCTTTTCTTTAACAGCTTTTAATATTCTGTTGTTGTGCTGAATTTCTGGAATCTTGACTATTATATGCCCTGGTGTAGTTTTTTGGATTTTTTCTGTTTGTTTGTTTGTTTGTTTGTTTTGTCATGGCTAATTAGAGTTCTGTGTGCCTCAGTTATCTGTCTATCAAGTTCTTTTTCCCCGCTTGGAAGTTTTTGCGCTGACTTCTATGAACAGGTTTTTTTATGTCATTTTGTTACTCTTCTTTTCATCATTTAACAACTCTTGGATTGATTTTTTTGTGATCCCTTGCTATTTTTAAGGAATCCTGTCTATATGAGATTGTCCTCACATTGGTTTATTCTGCTAAAAGTATTTGCAGTGGGGTCTGTAATCTCCTGGATAGTTTGAATCTGCTCTATGGATGGCATTTCTTTCCTGTGTTTCCATTTTTCCATCGTTTTCCTAAGCCCTTCTGTTTTGTTACCTGTGTTTGCTCTATGTCACTGTGCATGTCTTTGTCACCATCTCTAGTTATCTGTGAGGTATTTCTGCCTTGATTTTTTTTCTAGAGTTCATTCAGCTGCTTTTGGGTTTTGATTGCTCCACCTTATTGTCCCCTGGGTTTGCCTTTGGTGAGCTGGAAATCTGGAGTTGCATTTTGTTTTTCATTGTCTTGTTTTTTGGGGTTTTGTTTTTGGTCTGTAGTTTAATTCCTGCGTTGGTGCTTGTAAATTCCTTATGACCAATAGCTTTATTGCTAATATTGAGAACCCTTAGAAAAATGGCTCCTTCGCAAAGATGTCTTTAGGTGTAGCTGCTTTTGAGTTTTATTCTGTGGGAAGATACTGCCTGTTCAGTTTATTGAGAATGAGGAGTTGGTACCTTTTTGACCCGGCCCTGGCATTTGGCCTGTGGTATTGTTTATGACCCTTGGCAGTCTCATTCTTGGCATAGCAAGAACAGCTGATTAGAAAAATGATGTCACATTGGTAAAGTGGTACCATCAGCAGTAGCATCAAATGCAGCCTAGAAAATGACAAGCTGTGGTCATTACTAATTTACCATCTTTAACTGTATGGACTATATCTGTTATTAGATAATGTTGAGGTTTGTGTCTGGATGTCCCCCAAAGCCTCATGCAGGCATGGGGGCAGGCTGCTAGAATTTGTAATTGATTCATGCTCCAGTGCTGGAATTGTGGGTGTGAGTGCTACACCCTCCCTAGGGTGGGTGTGACCTCCATACAGTGTAAGGGACAGAAAGTCTTCTCTCTTACACTCCTCCCTTTTTGCTCTGGTTGCTTTTGCTGTCTTCTGTCACCATGAACTGTTTGTTCTCTGCCATGAACCACCTTGCCTTGGAGCCAGCCAATTGTGGACTGAAACCTCCACAAACTAAGCTTAATAAACCTTTCTTCCTTGATTTTGGATGTTGGGTATTTTTTTCCACCAATGAGAGAAAAGTAATCAAGACAGATAACAAAGCCTAAAATGAACCAGAAAATTGTATACAATAAGTATTCCCTTAATGTGGTAATGTTACCTTCAGGGGAGAAAACATTGAAAACAATTAGGGGCAAAAAATAGAGAAATAGAAGAAGAGGGGGAGATTAGAAGCAAGGCTGAAGGAAGATTACTCAACTTTAGGAAATTTGGTGATTAAGAGAGGGAAGAAGTAAAAACAACAGTTGTTACTCCCCCTGAAAGAAAAAACAGTGTCCACTTCAGGGTGTGTGTCTGCTGTCACTGGTAGACAACGTGGACAGGCAGAGCCCAGGACCATGGGAAAGAATCCCAGCAAACCAAACATAGGTGTACGTACACAGGTCCCACTGTGTGGTCAGCCTGGTTTCCAGCAGTGAGGCTGGCACCTGATTTGTTTGGCCCACAACATGCCATGTGCCTCCTGTGAGCTTGGACTCGGCTCCCTGAGCTCCTACCAGTCTTTACCTGGTTCTGGCGCACCTGACACTGGGAGCCGATAAATGGAACCAGCCGAAACCCGCTCCAAGTTTGGAATCCTTACCTCAGTTGGCCTGTCTCCAAGACGGCTACCAGCCGTCTACCATCCTCTCCTAACAGGTGTCTGACTCCGGATAACCGCTGCGGTCCACTGCTCCAGTCTACTGGTGCATTTCTCTGCAGAGGCCAATGGTCACTGCAAACGCAGGTCCAGTCCTCTCCCCCAGGGTGGCTCAGGGCTCAGGGACAAGGCACTGCTTGCCCACCTCTGCTCGGCACTGAGGTCTCTCGGCTCTCTCATTGGCTTTACTTCTTGCTTCAGATCTGTGCTGGGTCGCAGGGGTGTGCTCTCTCTGTCTCTCATCCTCACATTGCTATGTTTTGGCATCTGGACACCAAATCTCAGAGAAGGTGTTTCTTTTCTGTTCGCCACTATACTCTTTTGGAAGTCTGCACCACCTTTTTGTTTTGGTTTTTGTTTGGTTGGTTGGTTTTTTGAGGCGGAGTCTCGCTATGTGGTTTAGGCTGGCCTTGAACCGCTTGAACCTGTGCTGATCCTCCTGTCTCAGTTCCCTGAGTGCTGGGATTACAGATTGCATCACTATGCCTGACACTGCACCTCTCTTTTAAAGCAGAATGTATTATATATCTGCCACTTGTAGACTTTCAGGAAATTAAGATATTTGTCAAGAAGCCAGTGTTTCCCTGGCTCAGCTGGAAAACCTGGCACTCAGAGGAAGTCGGGTGGGTGCCTCTTGTCAAGCACCTCTTGCCCCTGTTAAGTCTGCAGTGAGGAAAGTTACCCCAGATTTCCACTCCTAATACCCAGGGGCTGCCAGACAGGTGGCACATGTCTGTAGTCCCAGCCCCTGGGGAACCTGAGGCAGGAGGCTTGAAAGGCAAAGGCCACCCTGAGTAACTCAGCCTCTGACTCAGACTCCAGAAACTAAAAGGGCAGAGCTCAGGGTTCAGCCCTCTCCCCTGCAGAAATCCAACTGCACTGTATCCAGCCCACGTGAAGGACAACCCGGCTGCCCGAGGAGGCCTGCATGCAAGGAGTCGTGTGCTCTACAAGCTGAGGGCAGCGTGGCAGACTCGGCTGACACTGGGTGAACATAATTGTGTGTAACAGTGACAGGTGACACACGCGGGCAACACTGAGACTGCAGCACCTAGACCAAGACCACCTGTCCCTCTGCCCCTCCCCAGAATGACCACAGTGCAGTGAACAGGTCAGGCCAGTCGCTACAGAGCACCTTGTGTGTGTGTGACCACGTCCCTGCCTGGCAGTCGGGTGCATGGGCTGGAGCAGTCAGAATCGCAGTGCCCAGGTGCTGGTACTCAGCACTGCATTGCTGGACGAATGCTCAGGAGCTGCACTGTCCCCTGGTAACTGCTAAGCCCCTGGCATGTGGCCAGTGTGATGGCAGAGCTGAGTTTCTATTTATTTTTATTTTCTTATGGCCTTGTTTGTTTGAAACAGTGGCCTAGCCAGACATGGCTACGCATGCCTGTAATCCCAGCATTTGAGAGGCTGAGGCAGAAGGATCACCACGCATTCAAGTCCATCCTGGGCCACAAAAAAAGACCCTGTCTCCAAAAAACAAAACCACAAAAGCAAAGCAACCATCTTGCTCTGCTGTCCGCATGGCCTTGAACTCACTTCCTAGTCCCTCCCTCCCTTTCTTTTTTCCATTTTGAGACAGGGTCTTGCTAAGACACTAAATTGTCCAAACTGAGCTGACACTCAAGATCCTCTGGGATTATAGGCATGTGCCACCACCCCGGACTTGAATTTTGTTTGTTTGGACTCAAGGCTCTTCAGACTTGGCCATAGGAAGTGACCTTAAGTGGAGGGGATCCCTGGCAAAGGGTCAGTTTCTCCGTGCCTGTCTCAGACACGGGGAGCTGTCATTCCTGATTTGGGTGGATCTGTACCCCACTGGATTCCTAGGTCAACAAATCCTTCAGGATTTTCCATTTGACGAGGCTGACATTAAAATTGAAATACTCAAAATCCCATATTATGCTTTGCTCTGTTTGTAGGGAGGGACGCTGCTCTAGACAGAGATGTCTTGACTTACTATGTAACCCAGAGTGATCTCAAACTTGTAGGGATCCTCCTGCTTAAGCCTCCTGAGTACTAAGTTTACAGGCATGTGCTACATGCCCAGTTTAAACCTGTATTTTTAAAAAATAAAATAGCAAACTCACTGAAATCAGTGAGGACATTAACAATTCTAATATAGTAGCCAGGTGCCGAGGTGCAGCTTGTGGTCTCAGCAGACAGGGAAGCCGAGGCACAGGACCACAAGTTCCAGGCCAGCCTGGGCACCTTAGCTACTCAGCAGACCTAGTCTCGAAATAAGGGTCAAGTGTGTTAGTCCAGGGACAAAGGCCCCTGGGAAAATTATAATAGTTTATTTCCCAGAAAACAGCCGGACCCCGATGGGAGGGGCAACTGGGAAGGAACCGGGGATCCTGGAGATGCGGAGAAGAGCCCTGGGCCTGCGCAGCTTCCGCAGCGACCCGAACCGCCGGTGCCGGGTCCACGCCGCACCCTTCGGCACACCGAGTGACCCATCCAGCCTGGACCCCGAGCCCTGGTCCCCAGCTCCCGGTGCTGCGTCCCCGTTGTTTGGCTCGGGAAATGGCGCACCTGGGCAGGCGATGGGTGCTTAACAAAGGCGGGGACCCGGTCCCCCATCCTTGGCGATTACCGGGTCGGTGCTCCCGGGCCGAGCCTTTGTGCCGGCGTCTCCGCTCTCCACCGCTGGAGGGCAGCCTGAGCCGGGGACCAGGGCGGGGCCGGGGTGGGGCGGGCACTGGCTCGCGCCCGGACCGCGGTGCCATGGGGGAGGCGGCAGCCGGGGACCCCAGCTACCTGGGTCGCTGCTTCGTGCGCCGCCGCGTGTGCGCGTCCTTCGCGCTGTGGCTCTGCGCCGCCTGCTGCTGGGTCGCCGCCCACGCGCTGTAAGGGGGACAGGGTCGGGGACGGGGACTCGGCGGGGTAGGGGATGTAGGAGTCCAGGGTGGGAAGGGACATAGCCCGGGCCGGGTCAGAACGATGTCGCTTCTGCTCGGATGCAGAGCGCAGTGAGACCTGGCTCCTGGAGCAGGCCTCTGTGGGAGGAGCCGGGTGGCGCAGTGGTGAGCGCCCTGGGCGCCCTAGTCCTATTGTCCGCCTTGCTTTTCCTAGCTGCCTCGCGCAGTGGCCAAACAAGTTATAAAACCTTGCAGCCCAGTGTGGGTGCTCGCCAGCACTGGGGAGGCTGAGGCGGAAGGATCACAGAGAGTTTGAGGCCAGCCTGGCTAGACCCTGTCTCAAAAAAGAAAGAAAAAAACGCCTTTGGGCCTCAGGGAATGGGTTTGACTCCTCATAGGACTAGCGGGAGGGCTCAGTGAGGACAGAACGCAAGAGGACTGAACAAGTGCTCGTTATACATCACATGCCCCCTGCCACCAGCCCTTGGGACTTCAGCAAATCCCTTGACATTTCTAGCCTGGGTTTAACACCAGCCCTTAGCTGGGTAGCAGTGGGATCATACTGACCCTGGCCAAGCTTGACTTTCCAGCACTTGGAGTAGTTTGACCACGTGGTCACTGGAGCTTGGGGTGTTGTTTTGGTTTGTTTTGTTTTTTGAGACAGTGTCTCATTCTGTAGCCCAGACTGGCCTCAAACTTGTGGAAATTCTCCTGCCTCAGCCTCCCAGGTCTGGGCTCACATGTGTGTGCCACCGTGTCCTGGCTGCAGCTGTACTTTTAGACACCTGTGCTACCTTCTCCAAACTCCTGGCCTTGTGTTCTGTCTACACCCGTCCCGCAGGCTTCTCTACCTGAGATGTGCAGCGAAACCCAGACAGGACCCAGCAGCCCTGTGTGCTGCATGCCGCCTCCTAAGCAGCCTGTGTGACGTGGCAGGTGCGGCTCTGGCCAGGCAGCTCCCGATCCAGGTACTCGGGCCTGCGGGTGTCGGGGAATCTATGCGCCACGGGCTGGCCTCCTCTATCTGCTCTCCAAGTCCCACAGCCTCCGCCCAAAGGCCTCCATAAGAAGGCCTCTCGTGTTTGGAGTCGTGTTTGGAATAGTAACCTGTCACCCTGGCCCTGCCTGTTCCCAGATCCCCTGGATAGGCAGAGATGTGACCTGAACACACCGGGAATGTTTACATTTTCTGAAATGAGACCCCTGGCTATGAATCCTCCCTCACTTCCTCAGATCCTCCCTTACTTCCACACCCCCATCCCATTGTCTCTCCTCCCGAGTCCTCTTCCCTGAGGGTCTCTAGTTGGGTTATCTTGCTGCCTCCATGTCCTGAAATGACTCAGAATGTTCCCCTTCGGTGGTCATTGTGACTTGGGAAAGAGCCAGAGTCTGCAGTGTCAGATCCGGTGAATATAGCTGATGAGGACCCAGCATCCTGTAGTCACTGTACTTTTGATCACACCTCATAAAACACTCAGTAAAGAGGACTCCAGAGCTGCTCCAGACAGTGGCAAGGAGGATGCGTGGGTGTGGGATTCATGGCGACCTGTTTCACAGTCCAGGCCTTCGCCGTGTGTTTCCATCACACCTCCAGTGTGACCCACTTGTCCTGTGCTCACTCCACGTCGGCTCAGCGACATGGGACGCACTTGCTTCCTTGAAAGTCCGAGGGCCTGGAATAAACTGCAGCGCATCCGTGTCTCACCTCCAGGGGCTGCTGTAGGCACGTTCTATGAGCTGTCTCCAGACAGCTGCTTTAAAAATGAAAAATAAATGGGGGGGGGGGCTGGGCGTGGTGGTGCACAACTGTAATCTAGGCATCGGGAGGCTGAGGCAGGAGGGTAGCCATGAGTTAGAGGCCGACCTGAGTACAGAGCAAGACCATTTGGGAAAAAAAAGGAAGACTGCGTTTTAGGCCTGCTCTGCAGAGCCGAGCTGGGCTCAGAGAGGTTACAGATGGCGCCGCCGCAGTTTACCATCACTCGTCCCATCTCTGTTCGGGCACCTGTGTACCTGGGTCAATCCCATGAGCACCCTGTGTGGCATCAGGCTCTGAGGCTCCCTTGGGAAGGCACTATGAGCTGCAGGCAGGAGTAGGGGTGCGGACCGACGTCCTGACCCTGCCTGCATCCTGCGCACAGGTCTTCACGGGCGCCTATCTGGCAGCTGTGGACCTGCTGGGCTTCCTGAGCATCGTCTTCCGGCCCTGCACATCCCCGCACCGGCTGGATGTGGGTGAGTGATGGTCTGTCTTCCTGCCCCCATGTGTCCTCGTCATGCCCTGAGCTGTGGCTGAGTCCCCATCTCGGTTCCCTGAGCCCCAGCTCTGTGCAGCCGCAAGAGCTGGGCAGCTCAGACAGGGCGAACTGGGCAAGGGGCAGCTTCAGAGATGCAGGAAGAGGCGCCACTGGGCTGGGAACACAGATGGGAGCTTTTGGGGCAACAGGAAGGTGTGATGGTGCACACCGTGATCCCGGTACTGAGGAGGCTGAGGCAGAATTGCTGTGAGTTCAAGACCAACCTGGATTCCACAGCAAGACCCTGTCTCAAAAAAACCAAAGAAAGGAAGGACCGTGCTCTACGCAGGCCAGACCCCCTGTCAAAAATTAAAAATTATAAAGGGAGGGGGCTGGAGGCGTTGCTCCGCGGTGAGCAAGCTCTGAGTACAAGATCCTGGGTTGCATCCCCCGCACCCCGCTGCAGGGCGGGGCGGGGCTTCGGGAAGGGGCGTGGCCTCCGGGGCCTGGACGGAGCAGCTGGCAGGGTGACAGGTGTCGCTGTCTCTTGCAGGTCCGGGCACACGAGCAAGGACGAGGCGGCGGCGTTGGCAGCGGCTTCGGACCCCGGTGTTCGTCCTGGCCCTGCTGCTGGGCCTGGTCCCAGGCTGGGCGCTCTGGGCAGCTGTCCCCAAGATGTGGGTTCCAGTCCCAGGATCTCAGCGAAGACTTCTGGGAAACCTGCCCCCGGTGAGGCTGGGCCATGCGGGTGCAGGCAGCTCGATGGGGTGTCCTTGCCTTGTTAGGAGCAACTTTCTGAAAGCAGAGCAGGACGCCCGCGTGGCCGCTCCTGGGCCAATGGGATGGTCCTCAGGGAGCCCTGAGCATTGTCGTCACTCTTACAGGAAACCACCGACGTCCTCGGCTACCTGCTGGGGGGCATCGCAGTCCTTGGCGCCTGGGCATCCCAGATCCCCCCACTCTGCAGAATCGTAAGGCTAGGCTAGGCCTGGAACCGAGAATGACAGACAGGTCGTGGCCACCATGGTCAGCAAAGGGTGTCCAGAGACAGAGGCTTGGGGGCAAAGTCAGTGGGATACAGAATGACCTGCCAAGTCCTGAGGATGCTTATTTATTTACTTAGTTGTCTTGAGACAGCCCAGACTGGTCTCACACTTGCAGCAATCCTCCTGCCTAGGCCTCCTGAGTGCTGGAATTCCAGGCTGTGTCTTGTTTTTGAACCAGTATTTCCATTACTTAGTCTCCAAAACTACCTCATTGGGCTCCACATTTCTGGAATATTATCTCCTGCTAGCCTGGTTCAGAATAAATGTCCCAACCACAGAAAGGCTGGGCCGAGGCTTCCTGATCCAGTCTCCACACGTCCCCCTGGAACAGTCAGGCTCCTGCCCTTGCCATGTGTCTGTCAGCAGGCAGTGGCTCCCCCTAGGGTAGAATGGTAAGGGGAGGTTTCCCAAGGTTAAGTTGAAACCAGGTTCCGAGGGATGAATAGGAGTTCACCTGGCCAAGGAAGCAACTAGAGCCTAACAAGCCACATTCTTGATGACTGTCTTCAGACTGAGGGCTGCCCTGCAACCTGCTAGACCACTCAGGAACCTGGGTTTTGGGGTCCAGCGTCACCCCTTCCCAGCCCCCTCCTCTCTGTCCAGGGCCAGGGGAAGCCCTTCTCCTGTATCCACCTATGGTCCAGGTTCCTGGATGCCCTGGCCGGGCTCCTCTACGCCTCAGCCATTGTGGCCCACGACCAGCGGCCCAAGTACCTGCTGCGGGCCATGCCCTGGTTCCTGACATCCCTGGGCCATGCCGCACTGGACCTCGCTGTATCCACCCCTGCCAGTCAGTTGCACCCTCTGTCCCTCGTACCTGGCTGAGACTTTTTCCAGTAGGCACCGAGGCTAGAAGCCCAGGATGGCACACGTGTGCCATGACCTGCAGTTTGACCCTCTCCCTTTTGTTTGTTTCTTTTTTTTTTTTTTTAATCAGTACCAGGGATCAAACTCAGGACCGCCTGCCTACAAGGCAGGCTCTTATGCCACTGAGCTAAATCCCCAGCCCCTCTTGTTTGTTTCTTAAGACTAGGCCTCACAGGGGCTGGGGATTTAGCTCAGCGGCATAAGCGCCTGCCTTGCAAGCAGGCAGTCGTGAGTTCGATCCCTGGTACCGATAAAACGGAAAAAGACAAAAAAAGACTAGGCCTCACTGTATACCCTCGCTGGCCTTCAACTGCCAGCAATCCTCCTGCCTCAGCTTCCTGAGCATTGAGATCACAGACGTGTGCCACCCGGCATGCTCAAACAGGCACCCCAGGCGGGAGGGGGAAGAGAGGGTGGAAGACCCCGCTTTGTGCCTTAACCCATGACTCAGCTCATCCCCGTCTCCTGTGTGGTAAGGACCAGGGCAAGAAGAGCCGTGGAGCCGAGTGGGAGCCCCGACAGCCAGGTGCTGCTGCCCCGCACCAGCGGAGCAGACGGGAGCCCGGAGACGGGGCCCAGGGACCAGGTCTCTGCACGCTACCGAAGCTGCTGAGCAGTGTGGATGGCGTCACGCAGTGTCCACGCACAGCATCGGGCAGCTTACTAACAGACACACGAGTGCCGTGCTGTAGAAACTAGTGTCAACTGCGAAGTTTGATTTTCCTGTCCCTTCCATAAGAATGCACAGTCCCACTTTCCCAAGCTCTTCTTTTTTTCTTTTTTTTCTTTTTTTGAGACAGGTCTCTTAATGCAGTCTAGGTAGCCTCAAACTCATGTTGATCCTCCTGCCTCAGCCTTCCAAGTGTCACCACCATGCCTGGTGGTTTTTTTTTCCTTTCTCTCTCTTTCCTGTTTTTTATTTTGTTTTGCTTTGTTTTTGTTTTTTTGCAAAAATAGGGATTGAACCCAGAGACTTTGGACCGAGCTCCATCCCCAACCCTTCTATTATTATTACTATTATTATTATTATTATTATATTTTAAGGCAAGGTCTTACCAACTTGCCAGATTGTCCACTCCAGGTTCAAATTTGCTATCTTCCTGCCTCGGCCTCCTGATTGCAAATTCAGGCTTAACCTGGGCAATTTAGCAGCTCAACAAGGATTCAAAAGAAGAAATGTAGGGGCTGGGGATTTAGCTCAGCGGCATAAGCGCCTGCCTTATAAGCAGGCAGTCGTGAGTTCGATCCCTGGTACCGATAAAAAGGAAAAAGACAAAAAAAAAAAACAAAAAAAAAACAAAAAAAAAAAAAAAAGAAGAAATGTAGAAATGGGCTTGGAATGTAGTTTGGTATGAAGGCCTTAGGTTCAGTTCCCAGAGCATGGTGTGCGGGGGTTCTCGTTTTTAGAAAACTCTTCTTGACTTTAAAATTCTGTGTCCCACTAAAAGGGTTCAGACTGGGTGCAGCTCAGCACACTGTGGAACTGTAAGTCCCTGCGGACGGTGGCTGCCATTAGTCCCACAGAGCTGACCTTGGGGCTGGTGCAGCAGGTGAGTGTCTGTGGCCATAGCGGGGGTCCAGCAGCCCTGGGAAGCCCTGGGAGGAGGCAATGGTGTCTTTGGAGGGAACCAGACAGGAGCTGCAAGCTGGGTGCAGGGGCAGCAGAGGGGCGGAGGGTGTGTGAGCAGTGAGTCTCCTGTGCGCTGGGTGGCTCTGGAAGTGGCTTTCTTCCTAGGCGATGAGCTTTGTATAGCCAGGTGTGGGGGTGCTCACCTGTTAGCCCAGCACACCGGAGGCTGAGGCAGGAGGATTGCAAGTTTAAGCCCAGGCTAGGGAACTTGAAGTGACCCTGCAAGGCCCCAGACTCCACACAAAAGCTGAAGAAAGGGTTGAGGGGTGACCCCTGGTTTCAGCCCTTAGTGCTGCAGAACAAGCCCGGGATGAGTAGCTTCAGACGAGCCCTGTGCATCTGGGGTCTGCACTGTACAGATAGTAGGCTGTGTGCTCTGGGGTACTGGGGTGCAGCGCAGACCCTGTCCCTGAGGGCTCGGTGGTGGCCAGGTGGGGCCTTCCGCCTCGTGGATGCCTGACATGAGTCCCGCCCGGACGGCCACCCAGACACTGCTTTCCAGAGGCTTTGCAGGGTGCAGGGGGAGCAGTGTCTTGAGGCTGAGCTGGGAGGGTGAGGCTGGATGGGACTCACTCTCCCTGTCATCTGGTGCCACCTGCGTCCCCACCTGCCCCAGGGTCTCTGTGTCACCACCCTCAGAAGGGCAGCAGGCAGTGCTCACCATGGTCCTGGGCTGTGTCCAGGTCACTGTCTGGTTTGTTGGTGGACCTTGAGACAGGTTTCACTGTGTAATTTAGGCTGGCCTTGAGTTCATTATGTAGCCCAGGCTGGCCTTGAACTCATGGCAATCCTCCTGCCTCAGCCTCCCAAGTGCTAGAATTACAGGTGTGTACCACCATGCCTGGCGAACTGTATTGTTATGGTCCTAGGGATGGAACCCAGTACTGCATGAGCTATATCCCAGCACTTTTTTTTTTTTAACTTTTTATTGGTACCAGGGATCAAACTCAAAACCACCTGCTTGCAAGGCAGGTGCTTATGCCTCTGAGCTAAATCCCCAACCCCATCCCAGCACTTTTTATTTTTGATAGTTAACCAGGATTTCACTAAGTTATCAAGGTTGGGCTAGAACTTGGGATCCTCCTGCCTCAGCCTCCCTAGTTCTGGGAGTACAAGCATGCACCACTGTGCCTGGCTGGTTATGTTGTTTTAGATTTAAATGTTCCCTATCCTTTTTGGCCACCCCTGGTAACCGTCCCTGCCTGTCCTCTCCTGAACTTGCAGGTAGCCTGTGGTACAGTGAAGCTGCCCAACGACGGACAGACAGATGGATGCATGAGGGTGGGGGACACGACCCTGCAGAAGCTGCCCTCCTCCCCACCCATGCAGTGTCCCCGGGCCTGGACATCATCCACCAGCTTGTCCGAGGCCTTATCTGTCACCTCAGACCTGGAGGTACAGCACCCAGGGCCATGCATGCGGGGCAGGGCTGTCACCACTCTTGGCCTGAAATCCTCCCCAGTGTGGCTTCCAGTGCCTGCCGTCCCACAGTGGCCAGGGAGCTTCCACAGTCATGCAGGTGTAGAAGTCTCTTTTTGTTTGTTGAGACAATCTCACTATGTAGCCTGGTTTAGATTTCAATTCGTGATCCTCCTGCCTCAGCCTCCCAAGGGCTGGGATCACAGGTGTGCACTGCCTCGCCCAACTGGAGCTCAGTCTTCATGATTCACTCACTGTCCAAGTCCCATAGAAGTAAATGCATGAACAACAAGCTTCAGAGTGTCAGTGTAGCCAGGCATGGCGATACACACCTGTGATCCCAGCACTCGGGAGGCTGAGGCAGAAGGGTCATGAGGAAGACTATGTCAAAGTAAAGATTTTAAAAATGGGCTAAAAAATAAAACACACATACAGGGAAGCAACAACACACACACACAACACCACACTGTGTTTCCCAAAGCTGCTGGAGCTGGGCAGGCAGGTCTGCTCATCTGCAGGGTGCTGGATGTGGGGCACCGAGTCCAGCACCTTGGTGCACTCAGCCTCCTGCCATAGCACTGAGCAAGGCGTGTGTGACAGCTCTCACGCTGGAGCCCTAACAGTCCTGTTGCTGGAGGCCATTTAGAGGAAACACCGGGCGGACAGCACAGCTGTCACATGGGGTGGCTGTGCCTCTCAGTGGACGCACTGTCCCCTTTCTGAGGTGCTGTCCTTCTAGGCTTTTTTGATGCCTGTGGTGCTTGGTGGCATTTGGGATTGGGCTTGGGCTTGGTTTTCAGATCCTGGCTTGGCACCAGCTACCCTGACACTTGTGAGACTCTGATGACCCTGGGTCCCGAGCGCAGAGTGCTGAGTGGAGCGTGGGGTGAGACCTGGAGTCCCCAGGGGCCGCTCCACACACCACAGCCTGCCACCAGCCTCCCCCACCCTGGGCCTTCCTGGGGTCCCATTTCCACAGAAACCTCCTCAGAGCTGAGTGTGATGGTGCACGCTTGGGGAGGCTGAGGCAGGAGGATCACCTTGAGTTCGAGGCCAGCCTGGGGTGCACAAAGAGTTCATAGTGGTTCATAGTGTGAACCACGAAGCGAGACCCTGTCTCAAAAACAAATCAGCAACAACAATAAAATGTGGAAATGCTCATTATGTGTAAAGGGAGAGAAATGATTTTCACAGTATGATTTTACTATACATGACATGATTATAATACAGCTCGGAGGGTCAATAGTCGGTCAGTCACTTTTAGGAATAGAATTGAAGAACATTTCTTTGGTTTATGAGGACGTTTCCACCAAGAACCCATGTTGCTCTTAGATGGCGCAGGCGGCATTTTCTTTATTTTCAGTCCTCGGCATGGTGGGGAGACCCGAGTTAGCTGCGCTCAGAGCAGCGTCCTCGGTTCGCGACGCGAACCTGCCCAGGGCACTGCCTCCTGCGTCCACGAGGGGGCGCGCGCCTCAGGGTCAGCGCCTGCATTGCCGGAGGCTTGGAAAGAAATGATCAGGGCTCCTCAGAGCCCGGTTGGGGAACGCAGGCTGCTTAATGTACAGTGCTTTCATGTTTACGTGCTTAGCTTTAAATACGCTTCTAATCTCGGGATCATTTCCGTTTTTCAGAAAAGTGCCAGAAGCACGGTGTTCTTTGCCATGTCCCCTGATGTTCCCATTTTGTGTAACCAGGCTATATTTACTAACACCCAGACAGTAACACCAGAAACGGCTGGCAACCAAATTGCAAGCTTCACTTACTTATTGTTAGTTCCTTTATTTTGAGACTCTATATATTGTCCAGGCTGACGTGAACTCAACGGCAATCCTCCTGCCTCAGCTTCCCCGGTGATGGCATTACAGGGGTATTGTTTTGATGTAAGAGTCGCCCCTGTCCAGCGGCTGTCACAGCAGCAGCTAGGCGGTCACACAGATGCTCACAGGCCCACCCCGCAAAGCCTTGTGACCCCCAGCTTTATGTCTGCAACACTGAATCCAGCACTGAGCGTCAGGCGCTGGAGGTTAGGGCATCGCCCTGTCACCCACCAAGGAGCCAGGCTCCCAGCTGAACCAGCCTGGGGGGGTGGGGGGACACACCATTTGAAACTGGCTCCTGCCAGGCATGGGGTTGCCTGTCATCCCAGCACTCGGAGGCTAAGGCAGGAGATTCCCCACAAGTTCAAGGCCAGCCCGGGCTACCTAGCAGGACTCTGTCTCAAGAAAAAAAGAAAACTGGGTGCTGACTGGCACCTCGCACCCCATCTTTGGGGCGGGGCTTCATTGGCTGTTCTCTCTCCCTCTTTCCTAGCTTGATGGGTTTGCACTGAGTCGTGCGGTTATTGACTAGGATTTATGATGGTTTCTCCCCCTAATCACAGTCCTTTAGAATTCCCCCTGGGCATTTTTCCCAGGTTTGCAAGTTCAGGATCCCCTCAGTTCTCCTGCGGCCACGTAACTAAGTTGTCACCCCTGTAACGCTGCCTTCCAGTTCCTGCACCCAGAGCCCCCCAGCCAGGGCCCCTCCCCGGCTTCTAGCGCATGGCTGTCCATGTCCTGAAGTCTGCCCAGCGTTTCCTGTCTCTGTCTTGCAACGGAAGGGTCAGGAAGCCCCAAACTCAGGCAGGTACAGCTGGTCACATGGTCTTGCTCCTCCTGGAGAGACTTTATGGCTTGGTTCCTGTTTCTGTTTTGTTACATAATAAATTCATGCAAGCCTGCCATGATGGCACACACCTGTAATCCCCACACTCAGGAGGCCAAGGCAGGAGGATCACTATGAGTTCCAGGCCAGCCTGGGGTACATAGTGAGACCCTGCCTCAGACAAATAAATCAAACAAAGAAGAATGGGATGCAAACCAGGCATGGAGGTGCACATCTGTAATCCCAGCTACTTGCAGGCTGAGAGATTGTAAATTTGACGGCACCCTAGGTGACACTGTGAGATTCTGTCTCAAAATTAAAAAAAGGACTGGGGGTTGGGGTGTGGCTCAGTGATAGAGCCTTGCCTGGCAAGCCTGAGTCACTGGGTTCAATTCCCAGTGTGAAGAAAAGAAAGGAGGGGAGAGGAAATACCAATGTGAGAGGCAACTTTGAGGCTGGGGAATTCGGGCTCCCTCTGGCCAGGCCCCTTCCTGTCTTGGGGTGTCAGATCCAGTCAGGCTGTAGTGGGATCAACAGAGGAGAAGCCAGGGTGGGAGCAGGTTCACCCGGGTGACCCCGGGGTGGCTGGCAGAGGCTACCTCCTGTTCTGAGGCCTGCTGGGCATTCCCCTCTCTGCCTCCCAGTAACAGGAGCAGGTTTGCTGCTTACAACCTGGGCTGTTCCCCCGGGGTCACCTCCATAAGAAAGACAGCACTCAGGATGTTTAGGCCTGGTTTCCGGAAATGTTTGCTGTGTTTTGTTTTTGGTACTGGGGATGGAACCCAGGGCCTGCTCACTGAGCTACAGCCCTAGCCCTTTTTAAATTTTTGAGACAGGTCTCTCAAAGGTGCTAAATTGCCCAGCCTGGGCTTAGACTTGTGGTTCTAAGGCGTGGAGCAAATGTTTGTTACTTAAGATGAAGTTTGGTTGGGGAGAAGTTTCCTGTGATTTGTGGTTGTTTGGTTTTGGTTTTCTGAGACAGGGGTTCACTGTGCAGTGCTGGCTGGCCTTGAACTCACTGTGGAGCCCAGGCTGGCACAGAGCTCACAGCAATCCTCCTGCATCAGCCTCCTGAGGGCCAAAATTACAGGTGTACACCCGCACACATATAGGATCCCCTGCATCCTGACCCAAGTGCCGTTCTTTGTGGCAGCCCAGGACCTTAGGACAGCTTCTCGACAGCTCCACTGGTGTCCAGGTGCTGCAGACCTCAGCCCCCATGTCCCTCTGCATCCCGGAGCCCACACTCCTGGCCGTGCTGCTGTGGGGACAGAGAATCAGTGTCTGTATCAGGTCCTCAAGTCTCCCACCTGGAGGAGGGCAGGTGTGTGCCCAGCTCCTCCAAGCCCATCCTGAGCTGTTATTCGAGAAAGGCCAGGGCTGCCCTGGGGTGCAGATAGTGGTGGAGAGAAGAGAAGAGGTATGTTTGCTCCTGGGGCTGAAGCCAGCAAAGTCGGCTTCCTGAGACAGGTGGAGGGGGAAGTGGCAGGGAGGTGTTTCTCTTACCACAAAGAGTAGGTTGTGCCAAGCATGGTGGTGCACACCTGTGATCCCAGAACTCCACAAGGCTGAGGCAGGAGGATCACCACCAGTTTGAACCCAATCCTAGGCAGCTTAGCAACTAAGCAAGACCTTGACTCAAAATAAAAATAAAAAGGCCTAAGACGGAATGTAGCTCTGGACAAAGGCCTGTGCCTCAGTCCTCTGCACTGGGGAATGGGTTGTGTTTTCCCAGTCTTTTCCAGGAATTATTTAGGCATGGAGGCTGAGGTTTGGGGAGGCTGAGGCAGGAGGATCCCAAGTTCAAGCCCAGCCTGGCCACTTAGTGACTTAATGAGACCCTGTCTCAAAATAAAAAATAAAAAAGGGCTGGGGCTTTAGCTCTGTGAGAAAGAACTGGAACCACTAGCGATCACCAGCGATGTCCACCACGGGGTTTGCAGCTGCCACAGAAGCTGCGTGGCCCCAGACCCGGAACTGAGACTCTGGTCCTTGGGGACGCCTGATCTGCTACGTGTTAGTGATGAGTGAAGATCAGTCTACACATAGTGGGAAGCGAGTGTGTCATGGAGTCCCTGCTGGAGTCCTGGGGCCACCCTGTTATTCCCCAACTAGAATCCAGCTTAAGTCCCAAGTCACATTAAGACAGGGCAACCAGGCACCGACCCTCCCAGCCTCACTGTACACAGAAACAATCGGAAAAGTGTCGTTTTGGACCAATCAGAAACCTGCCATTTTCAGTCCTCATTTGAATCTGGACCACAGGACCAATCAGAAGATGCTCTTTTCAGTCTTTCATTTGCATGTGGGCACAACCAATCAAAAAACACTGTTCTGGGTCATTCATTTACATACAGCAGGAAGCTAGGACAGCTTTTCTATGGAACTTGGTGTGAACCAAGCGAGTGACAGGATGACTGTCCCAGTACCCTGTTTGTGTGACAGAGAGAGAACCCAGGAATCCTGGTACCCAGGCCACTCTCACTCTGTAGGTGGACGTCTTTCCCACCTTCTCTAAATGGATGCCTTTTGCCTTTCCTGTGTGTTTTGGCTAAGTCTTTGTTCGAAACACACCAAGGACATGGAAAAGCACCCGGGGGACCCGCATCCAGTGACAGCCTTGACCTGAGTTTGTGGGTTGTCATCTGCCTTCAGGGCTGCCTGGTCTCGACCTTTTCCTTCCCCTCTCCTCGCAGGACCGGGATCTCTGAACCCACAGCTTTGGCGGAGGCTCCTGCTGTGGCCACTGCAAGAGGAGCCACACACTGGGTCCTGTGTTCCGATCAGCTGCCCTGGAGAGCAGGAGGCTCTAGGCTGCGACCCTCAGACTGCCATGCAACCCTGCAGAGTCCCTTAAACTCCAAAGCCATGCTGTTCAAGGCTATCTAAAGCTACTCTCTGAGAAACACTGTCCTCAGAAATCACTTGAAAACCCATCTGTTAGCCGGGTGTGGTGGAACACTTCTGTAATCCCAGCGCGCAGGAGGCCTGAGGCAGGCAGATCATTGCAAGTTTGAGACCAGCCTGGGCTACAAAGTAAGCTCAAGGTCAGCCTGAACTGTGTAGTGAGACCCTGTCTCAAAAAGACAAAAAAAAAAGAAAGAAAAGAAAACCCGTCTGTTGATGTAGAAGGGACATAAATAAATAGATAAATAAAATAAATGACAGAAATTAAACATTCTACTTTAAACTGGGCATGGTGACATATGCCTGGACTCAGCACTGTGTGAGGCTGAGTCAGATCCCTGGGAGTCAATGCCAGCCTGGGTTACAGAACAAGAGGAGACTGTCTCAAAAACAACAACAGAAAGACCAGGGTTATAGCTCAGTGGCACAAGCGCCTGTCTGGAAAGTGTAAGGTCCTGAGTTTGATTCCCTGTACCCAAAAAAATGGGGGAGAGGGGTTGCTAAGGTCGTAGTTCAATCTGAAGACCCTGAGTTCAATCCCCAGTATCAACTACAGCTGGGCATGGTAGCGTGCACCTGCAGGCCAGCATGAAGGAGGCTGAGGCAGGAGGAGTGGCATGAGCTGGAGGCCAGCCTAGGCTGTGTACCAAGACTCTGTCTCACAGTGAGTGGTGAACTGGAGGTGTTCACGGTTGCTTCTGCCCCTGCTGTGCTGCACACCTGCTGGCCAAGGACCGGCCCAGCCTGGAGGTATAGAGGGCAGACAGGTTCCCGTTTGTCTGACACTGAGAAGAAATGAACCCGGTGCCCCTGGATGTGAGTGATGGGCGGGGCAGCCCCAGGAAATTCTTCCCTGAATTGCCTCTTCCTATTGAGATAAGATAACACACAATGAGTCCTCCCAGGAATGTGGCTGCCAGCAGCCAGGCAGGCGCATGATCACCCAGGGTGGCTCCTGGTGGTCCCCAGGATTGTGAGGGGAGCCCAACAGGCCTGGGCAGCAGTCCTGACCCCCACCACTCACACTATGGGACTCATTCCCCATCTTTTTGGGGGGAGTTTTTTTTCTGAAACAAGGGCTTGCTATGTAGCCCAGGCTGGCCTGGAACTCGTGGGGATCCTCCTGCCTCAGCTTCCAAAGCGGTGGAATTACAGAAGGTGCACCTCTGCACCTGGCTTCGTTCCCATAATGCATCGCGTGGTTAGATGTCAGCGGGCCTGGGGCATGAAGGAGCCCTACACACAGGCTGTGCTGGGGACGGCTAAGTGCAGTGGCAGTCACTTCTTAGGGCTCAGGGCATCTCTGGTGTCCAGGGCCGTGTCCAGGTGTCGGCAGAGTGCAGCGTGGTGCAGAGGCCCCGCGGTGGGCGGAGACTGCCTGCGTTGGAGCTCTTTCAGGGGACAGAGACGTATCTCCCCGGGCTCTCTCGGCTCTCAGGCCGGGGGTGGAGCGCTGACCACCGAGGAGGAGGAGGAAGACAGCAGACAGCTCCACAGAAGCCCTGAGAAAATCATTCCTTACGTGTCAGGCTCGATGCCCAGGCCCCCAAGCCCAAGGAGGGACCTTGAGTCCACCAGACTTACACTGGGCAGAGGCGCACTGCCCGCTGTCTCACTAGAAGTTCTGCCTGTCAGTCTGTCTGTCTGCCTGTCTCTCTACCTCCTTCTGGTACTGGGGGGTGAACCCAGGGCATCTGCAATGAGCTACACCCTCACCTCTCCTTTTTGTAAGGCACCTTCTCACTCAGTCCCCGTGTTACCCAGGCTGAACACAGACTTGTGCTCCTCTTCCTCAGCCTCCTGGAGCACTGGGATGAAACCCAGGGCATTGCCTGTCGTTGAGCTGGTCCCCTGGCCCTACACACAAGAGCCCTTGACCTGGAACTGGAAAACAAGCACAGGGCCACACTGCTTCTGTCCCTAAATTGGTGAGAGCCGAACTTAATGAGACAGTGCCTAAGCGGATCCTTGGCAAGGAGCATGGGAGGGCGGGATAACATCAAGCACCACAGCCACAGGTGCTCCTGGCAGAGGCCAGGGTTGAGAACCCCTGCTGGAAGCAGGGGCATGGTGACAGCCAGCAGCAGACAGCAGTGTTTGCGGAACTGTGTGCCTTTCCAGTGCTTTTAGTCACAAAGAGGCTGCCATGGCTCCTGACCGGAACTGGTCGTCACCCTAAGAGGAAAGGCCAGCTCCCAGCCCAAACAAAAGACTGCCATTTGTTTGGCCCAGCCGGAGCTTGTATGACCCACTCTTCACTGGGTACCGTGTGCACCAAGTGGTGGTGTCCGGTCCCTTTCTGAGCCTTGATTTTCACAGTGGTACAGCGGGTCAGCAGCCAGGTGACTGGCAAGTGCTAGACCACTGTCCCGGGCTGCCATCCAGCTCTTGCAGCTCAGGCTGCCCAGGATATACCTGGGGACATGTGGGTGACTCCTGCTGATCACGGGGGCTTCGTCCTGCTAGGGGTGCTGCCAGAGGGAGACACTGTCTGCCACTGAGCTCACAGGGGAACAGCTGAGCACTGCAAGTCCCACTCCTGCCTCCTCAGCAGTCCAAACACACGCCGCTGCCGGATGGGGTCCTGCGGGCTTCTTTCTTTCTTTCTTTCTTTCTTTTTTTTTTTTTTTTGTCTTCTTCCTTTTTATTGGTACCGGGGATCGAACTCACAACTGCCTGCTTGCAAGGCAGGCGCTTATGCCGCTGAGCTAAATCCCCAGCCCTTCTTTCTGGTTCTTGATGTCTTGGATAAAGCATACAAAAAGGACAGCAAAGTGTTCTTAACAAAAAGAATTTTTAAAAAATGTTTCAGACAGGATCTCATTGTGTAGTCCAGACTAACCTTAAACTCCCAGAGATCCTCCTGCCTAAACCACCCAAGTGCTGGGATTATGCCCAGTGGAAGTGAATTCATTTGTTTTGGGGTTTTTTTGTTTTTTGTTTGTTTTTATCAAATTTCAATCAAGTTAACCGTTCACAGTAACTTAAAGTTTTAATTTTTGGTACCGAGGATCTGAACTCCCAACCTCACACTTTTTAGACAGGTGCTTACATTGCTGAGCTAAAGCCCTGGTCCCTAACAGTCTGCAGTAAAAGTGCAATTCTGTAGAAAGCCCGAATTTTACAAGTTGCAACTGGTTCTTGTTGTTTCTTGTAAAGCGTGGAAGGCGGAACCCATTGCGGAATCCTCTTTCTAGCTGCAGAGTACCGAGTACAGTAGGTACTGTCCTAGAGTGCCGCTCACATGAACTTACGGTTTTTCCAAATGAATTTATGCTTCACTGGAGATCTGGTTGTTGGAGGGTCATCTATCATAGCGGGAAGCCAGCGATGCCACCATGTTCCCGTCCACAGCCCAGAAAGTGTTCTTGCCATTCATTTCAGTAGCGTACATAACCCATCGGCGACAGTAAAAAAGCTGCTTGCTGTCCTCTAGTATCTATTGCTGTGTTGTCTCCTGCCACTAACGTGCCAACCCTCACATCACTCGCCCTGAGGAAAACTCAGCCACGGAGGCCAGGCCACAGGGGCCAGGGACCGACTGCAGTTCACACTTCAAAACCTGCGGTAACTGCATCCTGGCTCACGGCTCTACAGGGCGCGAGCAGGCCTGGGAAAGGGCTCCCAAAGCTGCAGGATAAGGGAAAGTCGTCCTTTGTACCCAAAGTGCTTAGACTGACTTCACCGTCATGCAAATAAGGCAGCAGCATAGTCAGTCGTCCTGTGGAACTCTCGCTTGGCCGCAGCCCTGTGTAACCTGTCCTATGGGAAAGCTTGCCCTCCTGCGGGATGCAAATAAAGGCTCAGAAACATCTTTGGATTGATCATGGCCTTATGCAAACGAAGGACTGAAAATTGCGACTTCTGATTGGTTCTGTGGACTGCACCGATTTAGATGGGGGACTGGGACTATTTGGTTACCCTGCTCTGGAGTCTGGAGTCATTCTAGGGCTTGTGTTCTCTCTTCTTACCAAGTGGCTCACCCAATCTGTTGGCCATGGGTGTGTTTGTTTGTTTGTTCATTTGTTTTTCTTCTTGAGACCGGGACTCCATATATAGGTCCCACTCCTGCCTGTCTCCCAGCGCTGCAGGACATGATAGCCACTCGGCGGGCTGCATGTATGGCCTCACAGCTGCCACTCACTATGTCCTCCCTGTGCCTCGGTTTCCCCGTCTGTGCTGTGTTGCGAAGAGGACTTCTGTGCAGAGCTGTCACTGAGCAAACAGCGAGGCAGAGGCACAAGGCTCAGCGCTGGGCCAGGTGACCAGGAGGCGTCTGTGGAGCAGCACCCATGCAGTGACCACTCCAGCCTCCAGGGGGCGCTGCGGGGCGAGGCTGCCTTTCTGCCCGTACTCCCTGCTGTGGACCTGGAGACAGCAGCCCTTTGCTGACTGTGGGTGGCCAGGGGATCCCGTGTAGCTCTGGCGATGGCACTACCTGAGCACAGCAGCATCCTCCGGAATACAGCTGGCCCTGATGCTGGTCCTACAGCACCCGGAACCGGAAGCTCCAAACACCCTACAGCCTTCTAAGATCCACCGGGTCCACGGCTTTCCTGGGACCACTCAGACCTTCCCTGGGTGATGGGCTGCGCCTTTTATTTTTTTCTGAAACAGAGTCTTCCTATGTAATCCAGATTGACCTCCAACTCACTGTGATCCTCCTGCCTCGGTTTTCCCAGTGCTGATCCTCCTGCCTCAGCCTCCCCAGTGCTAGGATTACAGGTGTGTCATCGCATCTATCTCAAACCTCTTTTGCTGAATAATAGATGCCGTCTTTTGCTCTCAGGGCATATTTTCAGAAAGAAGAAAATGTAATTCCAAAGGTGGAATTACACCTTTGTAAGCACAGGGACACTCACTTGGCACTCTGGAAAGCTGAAACAGGAAAATCACAAGTTCTAGCCCAACCTGGGCAACTAGCAAGACCCTGTCTCAAAGTAAAAAGTGAAAAATGGCTGGACGTGGAGCCCAGTGTGAGGGCAACTCCACGTACACAAAGCCAGCACTCCCAGCTTCCATCAGCAGAGCCCCTGGGAACGGAGGCTGAGCCCTGGGAATTCCAGCGGGACAATCAGTGCCGGCCGGTGAAGAAGGCCTTGTGCCCAGTGACCTCATGGCCCTCAGCTGTCGCCGGGCCTGGACACTCCCTTCCCTCTGTCCAACCCCACCCAGAGTGGGACAGTGGTCCCTGCTGGTAACACAGGTTCCTGCGTGCTGTGGCCACCGCCCCAGCCTTGTCCCCAAATATCCGG